ATTGAAATGCTCTTAGTTCCTTTTTGCAAAATGCGATCCAATTGGTTGTTGCTGCAAAAAAATAGTTTACCACAACCTGCTATACAATGCTCCATAGTGACCATGTAAGTTGGCCTGAGCACTAAATTTTCGGGAGGAAAGCCTTTCCCCTACCTGGTTTCTCACTTAATATCCGCCCGAGTTTCGCATATCTTCCGTTTCTCCTCATCGCAGCTTCCATCAAACCGCAATTGCCTGGAAACTAGGACCGCACATCTTATCTGATAAAATCGTTCACCCTCCAGCTGACCGATTCTGGGGGGTTAGGCTAGAACTAGTCGATGAGTCAACTGTTGATCTAATTTCATTACGTGAACGTAGAAGAAAAACGGGGTAAAAAATCACTAATGTGTGATCAATTTTCAAGGACAATTCTGTAATTTCTTCTACGGTTTTAAATAGATTAAAACACGTAATATCCGAAATCTAAGCTCAGATTCGGATTCCTCGTGAAAAACTGATAAGATTTTATGCATCATATGTTAGAATAGCGTGAAGGAAAGAGGTTTAATGACGTAAAAAAAACACTAATGTGTGATCAATTTTCAAGGACAATTCTGTAAATTCTCTTACGATTTTAAATAGATTAAAACGCGTACCTAATATCCATAATCTAAGCTCAGATTCGGATTCCTCGTGAAAAATTGATGGGATTTCATGTATCATATGTTAAAATAGCGCGAAGGAAAAAGGTTTACCGACGCGTATAGATTCTGTCGTACTACCCGTTTGAGCTACGCCGCCGCGCCTTGCCGGTCGCCCGAGATGCAACCGAACAGGGAGGCGCCGCACTATGGTCCGAATAGCCGGTTTAAGCGGCAATAAATCGAAAAAGTGAAGTTTGGAAAAAGTTAGATTTTAAGAGGTAGATCGATAGTACATACTGTAGAGAAGACTCCTGTAAAATTTCACTTCGATTAAAGCACTAATAAAGATGTGACAAGGGCTTGTTTTCGTCGTTTCACCGTACCTGAAAGTGTTTGGGCACTTGATTCACAAAATACAAGATAAGTTTAAAATGTTTTATGCTGAAACTATTCTTTTTTATCATATCTAATGCTCTAGATTAACCCTTAGACATAGTCAGTTTTATCAATAAAATCGCAGAAGTAGGACCCAAAAAATATACTTAGCACCTCTGAGCACCTCGTAATTTTACTCGGAAGTTATTGTCATGACTCTAGACTATCTTTTAGTCTAGTGGCAGAACCATAGTCCACCATAGCCTCAAGTTATTTCTCATGAAAAATGACGTTTTCGCGTTTCTTATCACTTACTACAATTAGCTATCAAATGCCATTGACGATGACTTTTATCATGTTCCATTGTCATATTCTAGCAAATCGAATGCATTAGAGCCTAGATCTGCCCAGGCAGAATAATACGAGTTAATGGGGTTGATCGGGACCGATTGAAACTTTGTGCTCAAGAACAGCAAAGAATCGCCTCGAGAGGCTATTTTGAGGCCCCGTAAAAGTTTTTTTTTTTGACGTTTTAAGTGTTTCAAACATATAATCTATCAGTGTAGATATATGTTAGCATAAGTTTAGCTTGGCAGACGAAAACAAGTCTAAACGGTTGATCGGTGGGACTTGAAAGTACGGCTCCCGAGCAATGAAATTGTCTTAGGAAGCCACTTTGAGGTCCCGTAAACGTTTTTTTTTTACGTTTACCCATGTTTCAAACAAATAATCTATCAAAATGGATATATTTAAGCTTAAGTTTCGCTTGGCAGACGAAAACAAGTTCAAACGGCTGATCGGTGGGACTTGAAAGTAGGCCTCTGGAGCCATGAAACGTAGAAGTATTATCCTGAGCTGTCTTTTTCAAGTTCCCTTGATAGTAGTGTTTGACGAGGCTCTACTTTTAGCTTCTTATAGTCCATCCAATGTAAAATTAATTTATAAACTTATAAAAAAAAAAAAAAAATTCTACCGAGAATCGAACCCGGTTCAGTACGAAGACGAGTCAGACGCGATACCAATTGCTCCACCGCTTCAATTCGGATTAACGTCCTCAATTTAAGGTTTGTGAACAAATTATCACCACAGTTATATAAAGTATAAAAATGTTAAAAATGGATTTTTCCTGAAGAATATTAGCATTTTTGCACTCAGCGACCCTAAAAACCCCTGAAAACTCATGTTGCGAGGTTTAAACATACGTATCTGATTTAATGCCGCTTAAACCGGCTATTCGGACCATAGTGCGCCGGCCGGCGCTTAGCAATCGGTTTCGTCCGGAGGAATTCCTCACGATAAATTCTTATTCTTCCTCCTCCGCTGACCCACTGAGCACTACCCATGTTGCCACGTTGCATTCGTATGCTCGAATCAGTATGTCTACGTTACGTCTTTTTCCTTCACGCTATGCTCGGGTATGATACATGAAATTGTATCAATTTTTAACGAGGAATCCGAATCTGAACTTCGATTTTGGGTATCACGCGTTTTAAGTCAAATTTTCCAAATTCGAAAATCCGAAATGACGGACGTGGCTTAAAATATATGCCATCTCGGCTCCTGTTCGATGGATTTTCCTGAAATTCGGTGTCAGGGTATGATACATGAAATCGCATCGATTTTTTACGAGGAATCCGAAACTGAACTTCGATTTTGGGTATCACGCATTTTAAGTAAAATTGTTCAACTTCAAAAATCCGAAATGACTGAAGTGGCTTAAAATGCCATCTCGGCTCGGTGGAATCTCCTGAAATTCGGTGTCAGGGAATGATACATGTAATCGCATCGACTTTTTACGAGGAATTCGAATCTGAGCTTCGATTTTGGGTATCACGCGTTTTAAATCAAAATCTGTCAAAATTCAAAATTCGAAAATCCGAAATGGCTTAAAATGCTATCTCGGCCCCTGTTCGATGGATTTTTCTGAAATTCGGTGTCAGGAGGTATTTTTCGGCGGGAAACTCGAATTTTTAGTCCATTTTTTAAAATTCTCAAATTCAAGATGGCGGACGTGGGCTAAAATGAGCCCCAGTTCTGGCCTCCGTTTCTGTTCGTTAGAGCTTTGTGAACTGCAGGAGCAGGGGTACTTTTCGACGGGAAACTCGAATTTTTAGTCGATTTTTGAAAATTCTCAAATCCAAGATGGCGGACGTGGCCTAAAACGCTATGTCGGCTCCTGTTCGATGGATTTTTTTGAAACTCGGTGTCTGAGGGTATTTTTCGACCGGAAACTCGAATTTTTACTATGTTTGAAAATTCTCAAATCCAAGATGGCGGACGTGGCCTAAAATGCTATGTCGGCTCCTGTTCGATGGATTTATGGCGCCCCCTTAGGTACTACATGCCTATACTCTTGTATTTCTGTACAGCCGCAAATTTAGGGTCAAGGGGCGCCTGACCGTCTATGGACCAGGTGGAGTTTTTGTCCTGAAAATGTACCTTTAGACGGTAATTCTCTTTATATTTTGTCTATGTTTTTTATGCCCCCCCCCCTTTCTCGCGGACTCTCTTTTCACTTTTCTTGCCTCCTTTTTCCTTCCATTCCCCCCTTCTCCCTTGCTTTCACTGCCCAACCTTGTTTCCTTTTCCTTTTTTCCCCCTTGTCCTTTCTTCCCTTTTTTTCCTTTTCCTTTCCCCCCCCTTATTTTCCCCTCTCTTCTTCTTTCGTGGCGCCCCTCAAAGGCTGGCGCCCGTGTGCGCCGCACGCCCTGCACACGCCCTATGTCCGGGCCTGAGTCCACCTCTGCACCTCTACATCAAGACGAACTCTCCATGCCGGAGATAGGGAGCGAATATATTAGCAGGGATGCCGTGTTTTCAGTCTTAGAGTTCCCAAATAAAGTGGCATCCCTGTCAATGTAGGTATTTGCTCCGTATCTTTGCATGGAGAGTTTGTCTTGATGTAGAGGTGGACTCTCAGCGTGGGATATTCTCTCCATTTTGGCCTCAACTTGAGTGCTTTTTTTGAGCTTGGGAGTTGATTTCTCAATGGTCTGTTCTTGTTCTGTTTTGAATGACTCATTCATGAACTGCCACTAATCTGTGTGAACTGCATAGGGCTCATAGCGCATGCGCAGTACGCGACGCAGGCACGCACAAAATTAAGTTTGTAAATAAAGCAGACTATGATTTTTTTTCTTCGTTTATTCGACGCGGCAGATTTCGATCATAGGCGATAGTCATATATTGTATCGATTACCAATCAGTCACATTCCTTAGGTTTTCCAGACCATTTTAAATACCGAGGTATGCATCCTGGTTCTCCATAATTTCATTTTCTTTCTATTTATTGTGCAGGGCCGTTCTCAACGAGTTCTCCTCTGATCATAAAATCATCATGATCACCCAAAAAACTCTTAAAAATTATTCGGGTGTTCATGATTTTCTCCTTCAACTACAAATAAATTTACTTAATTTACTTGACTACTCAAAGGTACCGTAAATTTTATGATTAGGCAAGACAGCCGAATAGGTGCTTTGGTGACCGATTGCTTACAAAATTACTTTTCCGAAAGCAAATAACAAATTCGGAGAATGGGTATTGGGTGGTAAGGGCTACGGCAATTTGCACAGGACAAGTAGGGTGCCGCTCTCATAAAAGATAGTACGGTCTTACTGCTATTTAGTTGGAATGATGTAAATTTTTGTGCATAAATTGGACCCTCACAACTTCGAATTTTTGATGCGACACTGCGAGGAATTTTGCCATTTAAGCTACATCATCCAGTTCATTCCAATTAGATTGGTCGAATATGAGAACACTCAATTTTGAAAATGTGTTCATACAGTAGGTCTGCTGGGTCTTTTCCTGCATAATATTAAATTTATTTCTTAATAATTTGCACCTGCATGTAACATCTTATAATTGATATAAAAAAACAATTCTGTACTAGTGTAGGTAAGCACTAACACTCAGTCTAAGAATGTTCTTTTTTTAAGTTCTTGTGAGTGATGAATCAAGCTCAAAGAAGTGAGGAAATGAAAGTGAACACTTCAGTGTAAAAAAGTAAATTATGTCACATTTTATTGAAAAAGAAAGAACATACATCGTAACATAATAAAATTAAACGGTATTTACAGCTTCTTTTTAACAGAAAGTCATCTGCTATTTCCATAAATGCTAGGAAAAAAGGAATATGCGAAGAGAAATTCGCGAGAATTTAACTTACAAAACTTATTTACAATCACTTACAAATATTTAAGGAACATTAGCTACAAAGACACAATATTAGTTAGCCATGTAGTAACAGGTAATTAACTATCAAATTAAACCCGAAGTATTTTACGCATATTTTTCCATTTCAAGTTCAAACAATTCGATTTTGAACAGGCAATCTTTGCTCTCCGTACTTCACAAAGATGATGTGGAGAATAACTTCTTGATATACATTAACAGAGGCTAACTGAATGGAAAATCAACAGCAGAGGTGTGTTCAGCTGCTCAAATTACAAGGTAAACAGAAATGACAATCGGTTCACCAAACAATTTTAATTGGTTAAAAACAGTTGTCGGATCTAATCTCTGTGGTGGGAGCAAAATTACTCTTTGATTCTTTTCAAAGTCAATGAGAGTTGGCTAAACTAGTGCTGATTATCGCCGGAGAGATAAAACACTTGATATGACAGAATGAATGAGAAAGCAAAGCTGCAATGAAAATCTGAGGAAGTTAAGAAGAGGTTATAAAACTAGCATGATTGATGAATAAAAGCATTCAAAAACTTCACATACGTTATTGAAAAAATTTGACCCAGCTTCCCTGAGACATGCTGGGTGCTCATTTGCAGGTGACCACATTTAAATAAATGGAATGATAATGTGAGCTATGAGTGCTCTCAGTGCACTCCTACTTCGAGAGCAATGATTGAAATGAGTGTTGATTGTAAAGCCATTCTCAGCACGCAATCTTCAATAGATCTTAACGTGATATTCCTTTCTATTGATATTCTGCCATTCGAAGAAAGTTGCAGGGAAAAGGGAACTTTAAAAGCCATTGCTGGGTATTCAAAAACAATTTGAGCTGAAAAGGATTAAGTCAAAGGGGTGGGTACACTAGCACATTAATCTTACAATTAGACACAAGTAAACAAGAAGGCAACATTAAAAAGCTTAGCCTTCCTCATCCAAGAGATGAAAATCAATAATTTCATGGTGATAAGAAAAGATGGAGCAACAGCATCAATGGCAAAAAGGCCTGATATAAAAACATTCGTATAAAAGATTTTACAAATACGAAGATAATGACCCAAGCTTTGCTACGACTTCTGCCTTGAACAAAAACTGTTCCTTAAATTTGAAGACAATTTTTTCAAATCATAAATGATAATTAAAGCACAAAATTTACAACCTTGAGATGAAAAAAAATTGTGGCAATTTTAAAATAACAAATATGATGGCGCTTTATAAATCACATTGCGATAGGAAACAGATAAAAGCTATGTATAAAAATATACAAGTACGTAAGTATCATCTATTCAGAGTGGTTTTGAACCGTATAACTAAAAAATGTTCACTTTTAACAAATTAACAGATACCTCTGCATCAGAGAACTTTCCTATTTACAGAAAATGATACAAGTTCACAGAAATCACTTCTGAAGAAGGTACTCATACAGCTCTCTAAGATTCAATATCAATAAACAAAATAGTGGAATCTTCTACATTCCTTGGCAACTTGAGCAAAGTAACCGACACACCATAAAAAAAATTGTATACAAATCAAATATGCAACATTTGCTCCCATAAGATAACTTGGATACTCAAAAATAGGTTCAGATTAGGTATATGGACTTCGAACAGAAACCTTGAAAAGTCTACTGTAAACTTTATGTAAAGCATATTATTTCACATGAAATTATATTTTGCATCACATGAGTATTAGACTGATTCTTCGAGAGAAAGCATGTCTTAAGTGAGGAGATTGACCCATCATAAGAATTAATCTGACGGACTATCCTGACAAGATTAAAACTGATATTGAGATTACTGCTGAAAAGTCCTATTGGTTGAGATCTGTGATTTTCACAGACCTTCAAACTGTTTGTGTAAGCATATACGCAAAGAGACAAACTTTCATTCATAATTTTCTCACGTCCTAACTCTCTTATACCTTCGGAAAGGTAGGCAATGAGGTTTGGAGAAAATTCGTTCATTCACTCAATAACTGAAAATTGAACTCTAAAAAAGGACATTTTTTTCAGTCTTATGCAAAATATTTAAAAATCTGCGGCCGTTAAGAAAAATTTCAAGTTTACTTTAATTCTTTTGAGCCCTTCAACAATAGCTAAATCGATTTGAGGGCTTACTTAATTTCTTCCTCCTAAAATTTGAAACTTTTCAAAATTGATCAGAGAAACTTGAATTCAGAAATTTTCTTTTAAAAAAATTTATACAAAAAGAACAAAAAATTTTAAAATGTAAGGGACAATTTTCAACTAAAAAAAGATAGAACGGAAAGGTATCTACGCTGCTGCAAACGCTGATGATGTTTCTCTTTTGATTGCATGTGATTCATTTATAACTCAGCATAATTTCTCAATGAATAGCTTTTTTTCCAAGTAATCAACAAGAAGCGTTTTTTATGTAATTCTGCTTGCTGTATTAACCGAAGTCGCAATCCTTAGAGTATTTTTTCCTTTATCTTCCTTCCCTATCTGTTACAGGTAACTTTTGAAGCAATTGATATTGCGTTTATTGCATTGTATTGAATTGTATTCATTATTTAAATGATTTGAAGGCAATGAACTGCATAAAAGTACACTTTTTCACACTCATTTTTTAATATTTTAATGATTCATTTGTGTTCTTTCAACTGACCAGTAATTTGAATTTGAACAATGTATTCTATAAAAACGATTAAATGCAGGCAGCAAGCAAAATTGTGCTTTGAAAAAACAAGATTCTTAAAAAGAGAATTAAGTAAGTACACATAATGATAAGGATGGCAATAGTAAATGATGAGGGTAATGAAAAGGGGGGGGGGGAACTACATATTAGAGCTAGATTATTTTGAACTCGATGAGTTGTCCAATTGAAAGAACAATCTGCTGCTAACATGACATAAAGTAATTAAAACCTTTCTGTTAAAAACTAATTAATTACCACATAAAAAAATAAAATAACAGAAGTAATAATAAAAGTTAAGATAGAAAAAAACCCTTCCATGTGAGTTTTAAGTAATAAATACTGAATTTCAGATTTCAAAGTCTTGTTGATGAGTAATTTTATCAGGAAGGAGAAGAACTTTAATAAACTAAAATAAAAACTTCACTTGCACATTCAATTTACAATGAAAGGATGAAAGCAGCAGGTAAAGTTAAATTTGAAATCATAAAATATTTCTGGGTCATTGACAGTAGGTAAAGTTTTATAAGGTAAGTTTTTTTTTTTTTTTTTTTGACAACTATAAAACTCGACTTAAAAACCCAAAAATATCATCTTGTTCAACTTTGATTGAAAGGAAAACAATGTTTGTATCAATAGCTGTGGTGGTAATGATCTATCTTACAAGTAATGACAAAGAACATTGCAAAAATTACATAGATTCAGTATGAAATAGTTTCCGACAAAATTTCTTAGTTTTCTTTCGGAAGCAGTACGATTTCTAATAAAATTCAGCAAAAATGGACAAGTGGGGTGAAAAAAACTTCCTCATTATTTTGACAGACTCATCTTAATTTTTGGGAAGCTCAGAAAAAAAGTTAATGAGAACAACAAAAGCAGGAGATACTTCAAAAACATGCGGTAATTTATTTGATACTACTACCTGGTCAAAGTGATTGAGTTCTCACACAAGACTGCATCTGTTTTTGTCAGTCATTAATTTCAACAAGCTCAGGGTTTTTCTTTCTCTTTAGCCTTATTTTCCTGTAGTCTAGAACTCTTACGGTAGGATTTAAATTTATTTTTAATAAATCGCACAGTACACTAACAGGTCTTAGCATTTGAGAGCCTAAGAATTGGAAAGATATATTGACCTGATTGAAATCGACGAGGTCCGGCTTCCTGCCATAGAAAGAGAAAGGGACCATTGAATTATCGTAGGTGGTTCGAGGACCTGTTGATTTTCGTGCGGTCTGACTTACCCTCACGCCTGACGTGTTCGTTGATGCTGCAGGCATGCCGATGCTGGCCGTGGACTTCTTAGCACAGTGCGAGAGCTTCATTCGCTTCACATCTGACTTTTGAGGGATTCCTTTCGATCGATGTTTCTTTTTCTTTTGGGGCATTTCAACAGGTAGGTACTTTTTGGAGAGATGATATGCTGTTATTGACCTTTCATAACATTTCACGGATCCCTTCAATTCTTCCCATTGTCTTCTTGAGAGCCGAGACTTTTTAACACTCTTGACTCTGAGAGACTTGGTGCACTGGTAATGACAATGGTAATTTGCTTCGTGTACATCTGGAAAACTCTTCTTGCAACCTTTGCAAAAGTACACATCAATATGTTTCCGCAGGTGGAAGAGCATTTTCTTGGGGTCGTCTGAGAAAAAGCGACAAACCGGGCAGCCAAAGAAAATCAACTTGCCAGGCTTGTTACAATGTGCCAGAAAATTAACGCTCTTCTTTCCATCATCAAGCCTGCTATAAATCAAAAAGCAAAAAATACATAATGAAATAAATTATTATTGAACGTATTATTATTAAATAATGATAATTGAAACATATTGAAATAAAGAATGATTGTTGAATAACATTTGTTTTAATTTATAGAATGATACCTAGATTCATCGTATTTTAGAAAATAGGTTCTTCAGCTCTCCTCAACCCTCACAATGTATGGAGAGAGGATTCCACAAACCCTAAAAGGGAATGTATGCCCACTTTGATATTTTGATCACATTAAATTCATTTATTGATGCTGATCGAGGGTCATCTTTGCGCCAAGTTTCTACCAGCCACCATTTTCGCATAATCCGCAGTAGAAGGCAACACAGCGATACAGAGTCCAAAGACTCCTTTTCCTTTCAGCACTCGCAAACAGGCTGGCTGTGAAAAAGAGAAAACTCAGCCTATTCTGGTATACTGTGATCAGAGTCCACTACTGCCGAGCAGCAGTTCCATCTCGGATTCCGCACGCCTTTTTGTTTCACCATCCAAATCAGTTGCTTGAACAAAAGGCGCGCTGGCACTTTCATTAACCTACATGAAGATGGTCTAAAGAGATATATAAGAAGACGGATACGCCCTGGGTTTCTCCTTGTTGACGAACGGCTTGTTCTCACATGCAGAGAGGAAGAGGGACTTCTATGACTCTTTATCGCCTTGCAGCTTTCATTTTTTAACCAAATACGGAAACTTCAACCACAAATTGTGTTAAAACGGTGGCTTAGAGACCAGACGAATAGATGACTTTCGATCAGTATCAATAAAGCATTGCACCACATTAAGCTGTAGACTTTTTGCCAGATAAAAAAGCAAAATTCTTATTTCATAGTGCAGTGAATAATGGAAATAGTAATTGGTCCTCTCATTAAAAGGACCCATGCTCATTAATTTCCTCTTTCAAAAATTCAAAACACACCCAGTCTTAGAGAGTGCTCTATGAACAAGAAATTATGATAACAATCTAGGCCATCAAGAGTTCCTCGTTGTGCAGCCAATTTCCACTAAAAGATAAATTAAATAACAGATAGAGGCCTGATAATTAAAAGATAAACAGCCGTCTCTCCTGAGGAAGAATCTTGGTCCCAAACATTAAAAGTTGATACATTTGTAGCACTGATTAGAGGAGAACATTCTATGCAGTTTTCCTATCACTATGGTGCTGAAACACCTTACTAATCAAACTGAACTGAAGTTACAGCCATTTGAAGTTTACTGTTGAGCAATTATAAACTTGAGAATTAACACTTACACTGCCAAGCCTGTCAGAATGACATTTTTTGTTTTGTTTTCGGACCACAGTAACTAGTGTTGTGAACGGCTAGTTTTCATTACATTGCTGTGCGACAGAGGCACTACCCAAGGGCTTCTCATATACATCATTGTAGAGTAACATGGCATTGTATCGTATTGCCTTTACGATTGATAAAACCCTTGAATTTCAGCGTTTTTCCCCTTGTTTTTTAGGCCTGACAGATAATTTCCTAAAATGCATTGGTTAGGAACAGGCCAAAGTTACAAGCCACCATGTTTGGGAAGATTGTTGCCATGTTCACCAAAGTTGTGGGATTATAACGCTACTTTGCGTCTTCTGTCAGCTTGAAAATGAATAAAAAAAACTTACACTTTGCTCTTTAGAATACTGGGGAGTATTTTTGGCCAAAAACTTGTATTCTGATTTGTCAACCCAATTTGACTGAAATTATTTTATTAAAAAGGTTGCCTTTGTCTGCTAGCATTTCTTTTCCTGTAGATGGTCACGTATGATAATTAGTTCTAATCATTCCAAATTTAAACTTACCTAAAACTTGGAAGGTCAGATCTTGAGAAACAGTGACACTGCACTTCTTTGCCTGGATGAGCCTGTGAAAAGTGGCGCTTCAAGTTATCAATTGAAAGGAAGTCCATGTGACAAACAGCACACTTGTACTTGACCTGCCCGAGGCACTTTATTAAGAACTCCTCGGTCGAGTGGAGCGTTAGATGATGCGGGATAATTTTCTGCATTGAGCTGCGGAAACCGCAATGGATGCACTCATACAAAGCCCTGTCTTCAGCACTATCAACTTTTTTTGAGATATTTCTATACCCAAATGGGAGGTTTGTGCTGGGTCTAATTTTGCCGTTGGTAAGAAGTTGCGGATCTTTATGCTTCTGCCTCCAATGAACGTACATGGCAGCTAGGTCTGTAGATTTGTATTGACAGTGGCAACAACTGTACCTGAGCTCATCTTGCTGAGTTGTTGATAATTTTTTTGGCACTTTTTTAGCTGGTTCTTCCTGAATATTGTACCTGCAACACAAGAGAAAATATGATGTATTATAACCTATACTTGAAATATCTAGCATTTGGTGATTATAATTCTGTTAAAATATTCTCCTCTACTGACAAGTATTCATTTTCAATAAAATCATACACGAAGTAAAACATTCATTATTACAAAGAACGGGTCTGCTGCACGCAAGAGATACAGTCAAATGACTAGACTTCCTGCAAGTAAAATTGTATACGATGGACGCAACAAAAGAATCTGCAATCCACTCCTTTGCTTGCAATCTGTGTATTTTATGATACACTTTTTCAAGTTTCCCACGTCCATTGGCAGTTTTTCTCAATCACCGGCGACCACTGCAACCAGGTTGTCACTAACAGGGGAGTAAGAAATCAACTTGAAGAAACGAATAAGTTTGCCAACTTTTTTTCGATGTATGATTTTAATCATTTTCAAGCGTTTGCTTCCTTGTTCTTTCTTTGTTTTGCAAAAATCAAGCGCATTGTATTAATTGAAATCTTGCACAGAGGAACTTTTTTGCAGTTAGCTAGATTGTTTGTTTATGTGGGTCAGCTTTGCTTGCATCTCTCTCTAGGAAGATTTGACTGCTGGTCACAAAGAAAAACTGCCTGCAGACACGGTAAGTTTGAAAAGGCATGTTACCAGCTATGCTGACAGCGCACTAAGAAGTGGATTTTGCTTCGTTCGGACTTTTATGATGTATCCAACAAGATTTTTGTGCCATTTCATCAGTAAACGATCAATTCCCTTAACTGTACCTCTTGCGTGCAATGGACCCATTATTTTTCACCTGATACTTCTTTTGTTGTTTATTGTTTAAAAGATTCTTTACTCAAATCAACTTGACTCGAGCGCCAAAAAGTTGTGATTCTTAGAGGGGGAACACTGAAAGAGTCCACTTTTTAAAAAAAAAATTCTCTTTTATATCTCTTTCTCTCTCTCTTGCTCCATTGCTTTATGGATCTGTCATTGTCAGAACGAAGATAGCACAGAATACTCAAAAATGGGTATGGCACAGTCGAATAGAGACCCTCTACTGTTACCCTGACAGTGGCAGAAGTTTTTCTTTTGGGGACTCAACATTTTCTTCTTAGAAGCAATTCTCAAAATTGAATTAAGCTGAGTAAGTTCTCACTTCTTGTTCGGATATGTTAAGTAATGTGCTCAACAAGTTTGGCAAGTAGGGGATTTTTTTTCGAAGGAATTGCTTAAAATGCCACTAAACAATTATAGCCAGTAATTTAATGGGTAGAGCATTATCAGAGCCTCAGAAGTATGAGTTTTTCACAAGGTTCTATTCAGCTGTTTCAAACGTTTTCTTTTTTGGAGCATTAGATGATCATTTGAAATAAAGCTTAAAAAATGGAGCACTTTGATGAAACAGGCTGCACCAGGTATTTCTGGAGACAAGTAATGATTTAAGACTGACAAGCTTGCAGCAATTCAAGGATTTTTTCCTTGAACTCATTGATTCATGGAGAAAAGGTACACACCTTTTGGCCCAGAACTCAGGGGTAATGGCAGAGGCTTTGTCAGCTATTGTAAGAACTGTATAGTTCTTGTCAGTAGAGTCCCCGTGCATCTTGGTCAAGTGAGATTTCATAGTCTGGTGGTGTTGAAAACTCTCTTTGCAGAGACGGCATACATATCTGAAAGAAGAACAAGGTTTAGGTTCTTCTAAATGCAGAGAATCGATCAAAAAAAGGATATTAAAAGCTGATTAACATGATGCATAATAATAGTTTTATACATTTGGCACACGAAGCAAGTAAATAGTTTTAAGTGCCTCCTCATCAGAAAATTAACTTGGAATATTAGAGAGAGTTATCACAGTGGAGTTGTGCTTTTTCATATGTAAGCTACACGACAGAAAACCAAAAAATAAAACAGAACCGACTGAAGTAAACAGGAGAAGGAAGTATACAATTGCTGGTGGGTAAAATTAAAAAAAAAAAGTGGATCCAAAAAATTAATAATTTTAACCCTTAAAAATAGGTTAAATATTAGAATTCAGATGCATTTCAGCACAGAAAGGATTCTGAAGTCTGAAAAGCATCAATTTAGGTAATTATACGGTTTGAAATGCTTAATATTTTGGAATTCTGCTTGATTTTTCTGATAAAAATTTACTAATGTATCCAAAGTCTTGAATCTAATTTTAGAGATGTTGGTAGAGTTTTTGATTATTTTTAATAAAAAACTAATTTCTCTCCATGCTGAAAAAAAAAAAAAAAATTAAAAAATAAAAGAGTTTTTAGCTTCTGACAAGTACACAATTTTCTTTTTTTCATTCTGTCCACAGGCATGCTGATTCTTGTGAGATGACAATAATAAAAAAGAATACTCACTCGGAGGTTACGAGGTGAACACGGCGGATATGCAATTTCAGAGACCATGTTGTGCTGTAGCCTTTCCCACAGTCCACACATTTGTGTGTAAAAGCCCCTGCAAAGTAATATTCAAAACAATGCATTAAAAAATTATTATGCTGACAGAAATATGATTACTTGAAAGTTGATCGGGAGAATTTTCAAAAATTTTTTGAACTCTGAAAATTCTTGGAGCAAACCAAAAAATTATAAATTTTTTCAGTTTGGAAAAGTCTTGCTTTAAGATCAGCGACTCGAAAATGAGATGAAATTTTCTGGGGGCCAGAATTTCCATGGAAGGAGTCTTCCATTTAGGGTTGCACAAGCCTGGTTTTTTGGGTTTAAGCCAAGATTGAGTATTTTTTCACTGTCTCGAGCCGAGTTTGAGCTTTAAAAAAATGACCCTTAAGTTCGAGTAATGTCACTTTTAACACATGATTTTAAAATAAAAAATGATGGCGAAACTAAAAATAATAATGGAATGATTAAAATATTTAGGAGTTGGACTCTTCAGGCGTTTCCGGCTTAAAAAAGCTCAAAACACTCGAAAAAACTTGTGTTATAGGCACTCGAGCTGAGTGTGTGTACTCGCTCAAACCTAACCTAACTTTCAAGCCGAGTCGAGTGCTCGTTACTCGGCTTGACTAAACTCAAAATTCAGTACTCGCACAACCCTAATTATACATATCATCATAAAATACTAAAATTTAAGAGTGTTTGTGCCACGGAGGATTTAGCCAATTGTATTATCCTTCTTTAGATGCAGCAAAACTGAGGCAATTTCCGGTAACTGTACATACCTAGACTGTCATTCAAATCTGGCATGAGACCGGAGCCACTCTCCACTTCTCCATCATCAGAGTCAACTATGATTTCATCCTCAGAGGAGCTTTCAAGCAACTGCAATTCAGACTCATCAAGGACTGAATACTGTGGAGGCTTCAAATCGATTTTTGGTAGTAGTTTCGACTAAAAAAACAAAGAATGGATAATTAAACTAAGTACAAGTAGGATCGTCGTTCCTGCAAAAACCTATAAGTATGCATAAATATATAATTACGTAATTTCCATCTCACGTACATGATGATTCATGAGTCATGCATAATAAACTAACACGATTAAAACACAATATAGAATTTCCAATTGAAATTACATAGTGCAAATTAAACCCATTGAACGCTGATACATCCATTGCGACAGGAATGACTAAATCAAGCTATTGTTTGATGACTATTAAAGGAGGCCCTCACATTATCACTTGATCACTTCTCGTGTCCTTCTAACAAGAATACAGTGTTCAAAATATTTTAAAGTCTGTTCGTGATATTTGTAGTAAGGACACGCCAAATGGTCATGGCAGGTAGCTTGTTAAAATATGAATTATATTGAGCTAGATTTCATCCCTACAGGACTTGTAATACTTACTGAATTATGATTAGAAAGAAACTAATACACAAAATTATACTTACTTTCCGATATTTTTCTATTTTTGATCCAGGCAAGGTGAGACTGGCACTCTGAAAACAATGAAAAATAGTATTTTCACAGGAGGAAGAGATAAAAGAGGAACCCTGCACACCAGTGGGACTTACTGGCTCACAGTACATTGTGATCAAACTTTAATGGTTTATCATAAAGTTCATCACTAGGCAAAAGTCAAGTAATTTGGTCCAATAGGAGCTAAGATATTTGCAATTAAGTATATCAATTTGTTTTGCCCAGCAAATCATCCAAATCTCCCGCGCTGTTAGGTGCTTAATATCTTCTGTGCAAATATTATCCTCTAACTATTTGAAAATTTTCTTGATTCTGCATGAAAATGGATTACGTTGAAACAAACCAGGCTTCCCATAACCTTAACCCCTCATGGCAGGGGCCTCCTTGCTTGGAGACTTCCTACTTTTAAATACAATTGATCATGTGGGCAGGAAATTCTTGAATCCGTGCGAATTCAAAGTGCAATAGCAAATTTTTCAACCGATAACCATTCTACTGGTGTTTCATTAATTTTTCCTGAGGGTGTGCTCCCGGTGGAGAAAACGTACCTGGGAGCTCCTCCCGGGAGAATTTGAATTCTTGACTTCCTTTGAATCTCCTACCTTTCAGCATACTGAGAAACAAAATTGAAATAAAAAATGCCTACACACTCAAACCGAACTCATGGGAACCATTTTTCTCTTGCAAGCATTTTTGGCTGGAGCAAACTTGGGGTTAAAAAGAAAAACTCATAAAAAAGTAAAAGAAAAAAAAGAGGAGGGGAGGACGGCATATAAAATTCAGAAACACAAATTTTGAGGCTGGGCAAAAAAAAGTTCATTTTTGAAAAGGTAAAAATGCAAATAATGAAATTCGGCTTACAATTGATTCAGTTGGAGCTGGAATTGATTCCTGGGCTAGCTTGTATGGACCTTCATCATCAGAGACGATCATGTCGATATAGTTATCAACATCACTATCATCTGAGACAGGCGGTTGGCGGTATTTATCAGTGTCCTGTGTTGGTGTATCCTCTTCGACTGGACGACTAACTGGAATGTTGGGACAATAGTGCTGGTAACTGGGCATACACTCCCTTGAGCAGACACCGAATCTCCAAAATTTATTTTCAACAACAGGGGGATCTTCTTTACTTTGTCCCTCTTTCTTTGATTTCATCATGGATTTTTGGACAGCAATCATTCTGTCAATCTGTAAATTTTCAAAACATGATCAAATAAAACTAAGCCCTGACAATTAAAATTGTCAACTAAGTTTAATTACACATTGTGACAATTAAGTTAAAACTCCAAGTTTCTCATGGTAATATTTTTGATCTGATGTACAGTTGTCAAGTTTTAATGTTGCATATATAATTGTGAATGATGTGAAACAAAAGTAAAGGATCAAAATCATTCGTGAGAGAGACTGATAAGGATTTGCAAGATTGTTTGTGTATTTAAGTTAGGTTTTCTTGCATCTCTCTCTGGGAAACTTCTTCTGACTTTTATGATATGAATTCTCATTTTCATTAGTGTGCAATTCTGTATTTGAAAGCCTGTATCTTGGCTGTATCTCTCATTTGCAATGGACCAATTTTGTAAGTTTGAGTTAATTTTCCAATTTTTTCTTTCCTTATATCAGTTTATCAGCTCACTTATTGTTACCGTCTTTTTTCTATTGGTTTTGACTTCTTTTTTTCACTTCTCTTGGTTTTTTAGACAGTTCCAGGTTTAAAAATGACATTTTTTAAAAACACTTCATACCCAAGCATCATAGTCAGGGTTGGGCTCCAACTGTTGAACGCATGCTTCGTCTCCTAGGCGGACATGTTCCTCAGAATGAATGAACAAATCGTGGAACTGAGATGAGGCAAGATTACAGTGGCCACATTTAAACCTTCGAGTAGGAAAAAGGAATAAGAAATCAGTTGAAAGAATTGATTTTCCAAGAAAATAAAACATAGTTAAATAATTGCAGTATTCAATCCTGTTTTCTCTCTGCCCCACAGAAAAATCCCTGGCGTATCCAGGGACTGAAATTGGGCATAACTACTACCCACATGGGATGAGTCCCATGAGGATTTCAAAGTTTTTCTCCTCCAAGAGTTCCATCAATTGGAGAGAATAGCAGAAAATTTGAAATTTTCTTTCATGTTTAAACATACAAGTTTCAAACAGTTATTTACAAATCTTTCTTTGGATTAGAAAATCATAAGAGTGACGCATAACGCATGTGCACTGTGCAGTCAGCAGCCCCTTCCGCTCTCGATTCAAAGCTTCACCCTCCGTCCCTTTGGTGGTAATGAAGATTTGCCTCTTCCCCTCCTCTCCGGTTGTGTGCTTACCCATACCAATTTTCCTCCTCATATAAAGCCCCTCCACTCCAACTTTGAGACTCCCGCTCCTTCTTGCACCCTCCCTTTCCCGCCCACCATCATTACTATAACGATTCACTTGCATTGAGAAAATACGGAAGGGGGTGGCAGTAAAAAAAAAAAAAAAGAGTGATAAAAATCGCGAAATCACTTGCGCTAAAATAATTTAGTTGGGACACATTTCAGAGTCGAGATGGCCCCAAAACGCGTCCCGACTAAATTAATATAGCGCAAGTGAGTTCGCGATTTTTATAACTTTTTTTTTTTATAAAATTGTCTTAGGACTGTCCCCTACAAAAGTTTCTATAGGTGGTGGCAAGTGGGGGAATATTATTCCAACATCATACATATTATGACAAGGTTCCTACATATTATGACAAGGTTCCTACATATTATGACAAGGTTAGATCATGTTGGAGTAGAGCCATCTAACATTTTAATTTAAAAAAGAATAGCCTGTCAACTCATGAAATCATAGGTACAATCATACTTACAATTTATAATTCAGCTCCCGGTACATATGGCATTTCATATCATCTACATTGGAAGTTCGATATTCTTTGCAACGAGGACAAACAAAGTTCCCCTTCGAGTCAGGCTCTCCAACTGGACCGTGTAACCCGTTTTTATCATCAATGCCGAGTGCAGCCAACATTCGATTTCGCCCTTTGAGCTTGATGTAGTCTTCAGTCGATAGAGACACTCTCTCTTCGGCCAAACCGTTCTTTAGGCGGAACTTCTCGGGAATGTAGTGGCAGATATCTCTTGAGTCCAGGACATTGTTGACTGGGTCGTTATCATTGAAAGACGTTACCTGAAACATAGTTAATGGACTTCTTAGATCCTTTTCTTCATTGTTTTCCTTTAAAATTCGTCTTGATTGCACAGAAGCTTGAATTTTTGTTGACTTTGCACCCTGACCAAGATTTACTTTTTCCAAGAAGAAATCATACATAAATGCCACTCTACTGACGCAAGGAAAATTCTGGTGCAGCAATCTTCCATTACCCTAAACTCTAGATCTGTTCTAATTTCACATTGCATGCTCGTCTGTCGTTTAATGTTCCTCCTTACATTGCTATGTTCTGAAGCATATTTCCATCAAAATAAATCCTGATATTTTTCGTATTTTAAATACTGTCTTCATTAGCGAAAAAAATCCTACGATTTTCTTGAATTTTTGCGCGTTAAAAATATTTGTCAGGCAAGGATTTCCTTCTATTAAATTTGCTGAAAACGAAACCCAATTCTACTTTTCTATTTGACAGTCTGTTTTTATTTATCAATCGAAATTTCAGAAATTTTTAAGTTTATGATTTGCTGCTAATGTCGGCGCCTCTCTTCTACTTATTCTGTGGCATGTACATTTGTTATTACAACTATCTTTCACACTGAAAATGAGGAGACTCCTTATTTCCTAAGTAAGCCATTCCTTGGGATTCATATCCTTGTTTTATGATATCAGTTTGAAAGGCTTCTATCCGTAGTATTTCACCTACAACTTCTTCAATTTAAATTTGCTTCTTCATCAACACGATGAACTTGGAATGAAAATTTAAAAAGATGTTAAAAGACATTCTGGCAGAGAAGTCTGCAAAGGGAAAAAGAAGAAGGAGAGTTTGGAATTTGTTACCTCTTCGTATACACAGAGAATCTGCTTTGAGACCCCATGGTGTTTCTCAAGGTAGTGAGCATTGAAGTCGTACAATGAATTATTCGAATATGTGCAGAGGACACATTTGTACTGATTATAAACACCATGGACTGAGAAGCAATGTTCGGCAATTTCTGCTTGGACGAAGCTTCGAACGCGGCATAAGCCACAGTGCCAGGGTTTCAAAGTGCCTCGTTGAGAGTCTGGAAAATGACAATAATACCATAATTAAAGCCAACTGTTAAGTAATGACCACACACTGAAATTAATCAGACAAAAAACTTGCACATTCAAGATAAGCAGAATTAATGCACAATACGGGCAGAAAAAAATTGTGTAGTTCCTTAAATTGCATTGTATAGAGCAAAACAAATTGATGTCACAATTTGCTTTAATTAAAAGAAAAACTAAGAGATGAAAATAAATAAAAATAGTTGCAAAGAACTAACAAAGAAATACTGGGGTAGGATCAACGGTTTCAATATCATTAATTATGACTTTAATTTTCTGAAATTAATAAAAAAAATGAATAGACTAGCAAACCTGAACTGACAGATTGTGACAAACAGAAGATGTTCGAAAAATTGAGAGAAAAAAGTTCCAAAAAGCCGACATCTTCTCATAATCTAGCTCCCTCTTTCATGTGAAAACGAAAAATAAGCCAGTTTATAATTCTTGAAAATTGCCTTACGGCACAGTCTTAGATTCACCTTTAAGTTTACGGCATCCGCAAGCTGTGCAATTTTGCATTCTGGCATAGTCCCCTTAACAGAACTCTCCAAGATAACTTGGAACAGTTCTGTGATTGATAGATTCTCTTGAAAATTTGGGCAGAATTGCCTTGGTGTTACATTGCATTGATAGTTATAGGTCAAATTGATGCTTAAAAGAAAATAACGATGTAACCCGAATTACAGGATTAAGGAAATACCTAAAAATTGTTTGTGCTACAAAGGTTCAAAAAGAAAAAAACGAAATTCTGGAAGAGCAAATCCATTAAACTTGAGGAAACCTATGAAGATCTCAGGACTTTTTGCGACCAAATACAAGGAATGGCAAAAAATAATCTCTTCCAACCATGCAACTTTTGACTTGCGGCATGAGAACTGACTGATATGTATTCGATTTTAAATCGGGGCACAGAAAGAGATTCTGAATATTATTTTTAAAACATGAAAAAAAGCAGCAGTCCTGCGTTGAAAAAAACCAAGTAACTTAAAAAGTTAGTGTGCAGAGTAAGTTTCTATGCATGTGAATTACCTGAAGAGGCTTGGGATATGTCGGGTGAATCAAGTTTGCTGCTCTCCGAACCACGAATAAGCTCCGTCTTCTGCGCAAAACTAGGGTGTTTTAAGACAACATGCCGATCTACCGTATGCTTCTTGTGATGGTAAAAATCGCAGTAAGAGCATTTAAGGAGCGTGTCATCATGGAACTTGAGATGAGATCTGATCTTGTCTAGTTTTACAGCTTGAGCCAGGTTAGGTGGACAGTGAGGGCATAGGTAAGTTTTGACATCAGAGTGGAGTGATTTCAGGTGGTTACACAGAGTGCTTGCATCAACTGTGATGTAAGAGCAGTCAGGGACATGGCACTTGTACCTGGAATCATGAATTTATCGATTAGATTTATGCGCTGAGATAAGGAAGCTTCAAGAAATGCAGACAGCTTTTACCAGAACAAGCCTAACTACAATACTTGCTGCTTGATATCCTCTTATTCTTTATTTTTCTACACGTAATTTATGCAGTTGTCTACTTTGAAATTTTGTAAATATACATCTTATAATATACATGTAACGCTTCAATCAGCCCAAATTATATATAAGAAAAAATGAAGCTAAAAACGGGGTACAGGCTGTGACTGAAACAATTTGACCGGACGTTTTGGGTTTAACATACTCTTTTTCAACCACCGATGAAACAAAAAAAAAATAAAAAACGTGTATGAGCCGCCGCTTAACAGCAAGGCAAGACTAAATCCTATGACCCCTGTGCATTGTCTTCAAGAGCTCTTTCTGTAGGCAGGTCTGATCTAGCTGAGGTCATCTAATCAGCTTTTATCTGATAACTATTTTCCATAGAACGGGCACATTTACATACCTTCCATTCGGTGGAACGAATTCAGTGAGGAAATTCGAATGCAAGTCCTCCATTATGTGTTCTGTAAGGACAGGAGCACCAGCTTCTTTCATGGCTTTTTCTTCTGCCATCCTAGCACTCAAAGCATGGTTTGTGAGTGGCTCTAGTTCTATACTTTCTGACGTTGACAAAGGGTTGAAGTAGTCTTTGATTAAAGGTTCGTTCCCAATTGCATGATTGCGCAAATGGTTCAGAAGGTTAATGCGAATCATTGACTTGTATGGACACACAGCACACCACATTGGTTCAGCGTAGATCTTCTGTTGGGGAATATCACTGATCTCACTGGGGCTGAATGAGATTTTGCAGCCAGTTTTTGCGTTAACCTTATTCACACCAATAAGCTGTTTATCCTAAAACAGAGAAAAAAGATGATTGCCAATTTTGTAAAAACGGAAAAACTTGGCATGTGTATCACTACTCAATTCAAACGAAAACAAAACGTAAAACATCCCTTTTGGCAAAAGGACACAAGTTTTTTAAAGAAAGAGCTCATTTGCTGGATGAAAAGTGTATCTTTAACACATTTTTAATGCAAATATCAACGTGACAAATCGACACATTTTTATTGAACTTGTAAGCTTTTCTTCTGCCCTTTTCAGACTTGCTTGAATCAAAAAACAAAATGGCTGTAAAGAGGCAATTCTTGAAATGTGACCTTCTTCCAGCAGAGTCATCAATTGTTTGGCAATTAAAAGACTTAACATTAAATTTTAAGGTAGCGTTACCCGATATTATTCAAATTTTTCTGATGAGGAATGGATTTTGCAGATTTTACCAGCTTTAACATGTTCAGCCCTAGGTTAGGAGTGACAGATCAGCAAAAGTACCCCACATTTACAATCTATCATCTTGGCGCTTAGGACTATATCATAATTGAGTGTACTTTTGAAAGACTAGAAAATTTGAAGACTAATGATTATAATTGAGTGTGCTTTTGAAAGACCAGAAGATTTGAAGACTAATGATTAAAGTACAAAGTGATCAATTGAATGAAGATTTAACTTTATAAAAAAAAAGGGGTATAAACGGCCATTTTTGAGAATTTGGCTCCAGCATGGAGGTGGATCCAGATAATATGGCTCTTAATGTAATCAAATCGGCACACACTCCATGGGAACTTACTTTAAGCTACAGTCAATATTAACTTAGTCAGACAGCGCTACATGCCCTCATCAATTTTAATCACTGTAGCGACACTATTGCGTAAAAACTCAACAAACCTTAGGAACTAATATGAAAACTGAGTTGTCTATATCGGTTTGCAAAGGATTGACTGGATGAAGACGAGCGCTGTTGATTCGATGGGCTGACTTCAAGTGGGTAGAGATGCGATAAGGTACAGGTGCACGCATGGTACACAAGGAGCAGAAAAATCTCTGAGTCCCGTGAGTCCGTAAGTGCTCTACTAGGTTGGTGGCTGCTTTGCACAGCTTCTTGCAGTGGACGCATGTTAGACTCGATGAAGACCGAGAGAGATCGCACATCAGAACATGGTCTTTAAGGTCATTGGAGCTTTCGGCAGCAAACGTGCAACCTATGAAAAATAAATTCAAGATAAAACAATGGTAACATTTCTGAAACATGAATGGGAAGAAACATAAATCACAAGAATAACTTCTAACATAGCTAACTCCACAAAGAATGGCGAATGAAGAGTAGAGGTTAAGTTGCGCCTGGTCTTCTTAGTGATAAATAGGTGATGAAGGGATGTGGTGATTAGCCTGCGTCACCGCAGTAAGGTACTATATCTGCATTGCAACACTCAAATTGTGGACGAAGCTAATCTCATGACTTCTCTTCTTTTACTCCAGTTCTTGTAAAACCAGTTCTGGCACCTCTAAAATCTTCTGAACCTCTTTCAAGTCAAGAATCTATGCCTTTATGGTTTCAATTTGGGAAAAGTGCAGTCACAAAGCGGGCAGGAAATTCATAGCTACTTATACAATTTCTTAGGCTGAGCGTCAGTGCCAGAGAAAAGAAACCGCATTATTCATGACAAGCAGCCATGACTAGATTACCATCAAAATGTGAATGAATGCAGTGGGCCTGGATTCTAAAGTAATCTGGAAGCATTAAAATCTGTTTGAGGGAATAATATTGAATTATTCAGAACACTGCGCTGACAGAAAACCAACTGTAAAATGACCAAGGAAAGAAAACAGAATCGATACCTTCATTTCCACACCGGTAAAGTTCCAGCCCTGAGAGACCAGTATCTTCAGCATTGTCAGAGGTTTGATTTAGATAAATGGAACTGATGCCATTTACAGCATCATTGCTAGGTTGGTTACAATTTGCTTGAGATGTTTCTGTTATGACTGCAGGGCTATCAACCATGTCGTACAACGTGTTCAAATCCACGCTGTCATCGAAATCTAATGACAGGGAATCTATACAATCTTGGGTGAGTTCAAAAGTCCCGCTGTCTTTTTTTAAGTCACTCGGGTTCTGAAGATATTTCGTCAGAGATGGAGAGCTTGTGGATGCTGATAGAATATCTTTCAGATTTTTTAAGTTGTCTATGGGAGTTTGCAGTAGAAGCAATCTGGATTCAGGATTGTAAACGCCTTCCAAAGTCTAGAAAAAAGCATAAAAGGCTAATTAACGCAGTTATCATGCTGAACATACTAGAAATAAGCATCAGACTAGAAACCAAGGAAAACAAGCGATTGTTTATCAATAAAACTCCAAAAAATTTTAATTACATATATCTTCACCGCCCTTTTCCCACACAGCCACTTCCTGGATGATAATATAAAGTTTTAAGTTCACAGATGGTTTGAATACGACAGTGCTGAAAAGAAAATTGCATACAATAATACATTTACATTCTATGTATTGTTGTATGACTTGATGTCAGTTAAATAACGGTGATTCACGATTCGTTTAGGATCATTTTGCTATGCAGAAACATATTAGAGTTCATGGTATTGGAAATTCTTTCAACTGAGAAAAATTGTTCATTTTTCTCAATTTTCAGATAACAAGCACATTAGCTACAGCTAGAGGACATTGGTTACTGCATTCCTCAGATAAACAACAAAAAGAATAAAATGATAAAAAAAAAAATTGTTCTTTACAATTGTTGAAAGTTAACTGTTTCTTGCGATTTACCAATTCAAATCAGTCCGAATTTTTCCGACTATGTACCTCAGGTATACTAAAATACAATTCTTACATTAAAAGCACATTTTAGTGTACCTGAAAATGGGAGCAATACCGGAAATGACCTTCGTACTGTAATAACACAGTCGGAAAAATTCGGACTGAATTTTATTGATGAGTCCCTAGAAAAGTTAACTTTCAACAATTTAAGTGTAAGTGTACCTCTAAAGTTACATAGTGGTGTTATTTTTTTTTTTTTTTTTTTTTTTTTTTACCTTGAGTCGGTTTTCGAGCGTAGACTGATGAAGTTGTTTCTTCTCTTCTATTTTCCTCCTCTGATCAGGGGTAGTAATTCTTATAAACGGTAATAGGTTAGATTCAAGGCCTGAGGATTGAGCGTTGGAAAACTGAGGAGTAAAATTCTGTATTGAGTCAGCAAAAGCACCCTCTTCATTTGAATTCCTGTTTACAGCCTCAAACTCAACCTCTTCCTGTTCCGAGTTCTCAATTGTTGCTCTCGATTTTTGTGCCCGTAAGTCCATCACATGGGCGATCATTTGAAGGTAGACTTCTTCCTCTATTGCAACATCTTCGCAATCATCCATTACTGGCATATTGCATGAGATAGCTTTTACCTCATCCTGGGTTTCTTTCAGTAAAACGAAAGTGATCTTGTCATCCAGTGCATTAGTTTTGGCCCACGTTATTTTGCTTTGAAGTTGTCTCTGAAAAGAAAGCAGCGAAAAGTTATCAAACATACTCCATGGTTTTTACTGACACCCTTTAAAAATAGTTAAGTGTTTTACAAGACTTTTTTTCAACTTTACTCTTGGCAAAAATCGGTAGCTAGTTCTTTAGAAAAGGTGAAGTCTTTGTTAGGTACCTTTTAACTACAATCTGCCGTCTATTTTAACTTCTAAGTAGTTCTAACGAACATTACAGAGATAATTTTGCATACATTCTACTACATAATAACTGCCAATAAAGATGTTAACATAGTTTCTAGAGGGTTCATATGATTTCAGATCACGAATGGGAGAAAACATAAATGAAAGTATTTAACACATACTATGGAATATATATACCTGACTTTCGTTGGGTAAAATGCGGTTTATGATGTAAGAGGCACGAGAGAAATGATTGTTCAGCAAGTGAAGCTTCATATCGTCTTGAGACTCAGACCCATCATTACAATACAAGCACTGGTATTGATAGTAGTTGTGAAGTTTATAGTGCTGAAAAAATTGGAAAGAAACTGAGAATGAGAGAATGTAGAATATCAAAAATCAATCATCCTTAATAAAGAAAAATAACACATCCAGAATCACTTGACTAGGAATGAACCGTTCCAAGCCTTAAAACAATGTTAACTGTGATAGCTCCTTTGTTATCCCCGTTTAAATTCTGACTATCTCATCTAAAATAGGCTGGGTACAAGGTAAAGCATTTAGACAAATAGGAATCATAACTTCCTGTTCCTACTTTTTAAGGAAACTTTATTCAGTTTCTTCGTGAATAATTTTCCTCCTACTCGCTAAAAGGATACCATGCAGATTTAGGACTTTGACACCAGCCAAATTTTGTTACTATTAACACTAGTATTTGCGCCCCACTGAGAAATAAGCTTTTTCATTATTGCTGTTTTAGGTGAAGTCCTACGATAAGATTGAAAAAGAAATAAAAAAGAAAAAAGTCAGCTAAAACCTGACAAATTTAACATTGTCCTTGTTCAATAATGACAAGGACCAGAAAAAAATTCGGGATACAAAGCTATTCCTGTGGCAACAGATTTGAGTGAATGAAATGAAAAAAAAAATAAGGAAAATTCTTGCAAGTGCTAAAATTTGTTGATTTAGCATGAAGGTGATTCGATGGACGCCATATTTTGTGTCAGAAAGGCATGCAATATATCGCATTAATTGGTTCTATTTTTTCAGCTACTTGTCATTTTTCTCCAATTTTGAGATCGCAATTCTGTTGTCAGGAGACTAAAGCACTTACTTACCAATTTTAACAAAGAAATTCAACGCAATAAAGGCGTGGTTTTTTCAGAGAGAAAACATCGCATTCGATACTGATATCGAAACTGCACTCGAATGCGATATTTCCTCTCTAAAAAAACCACGCCTTTATTACGTTGAATTTCTTTGTTAAAATTGGTAAGTGAGTGCTTTAGTCTCCTGACAACAGAATTGCGATCTCAAAATTGGAGAAAAATGACGAGTAGCTGAAAAAATAGAACCAATTGATGCGATATATCGCATGCCTTTCTGACAAAAAAAAATGGCGTCCATCGAATCAATTTAACTTTCGAACAAAGCCTTAACAAAAAATGTGACTCAGCAGTAATGTCAAATCTCTGTAATCAACACATGTTTGGGTGGTGAATTCATGCTCCTGTCCTAAATTTTTTAAAATCAGCGCGTCAAAAGTTTATATTTTCTAACTTCTGAGGGTCATGCTGTACATTATACAAGAAAATAACAAAATTTGACTGACTACAAATCGCTTTGTAAACTTTGGAAGCTCATGCTTGAATAATATATTGGGGTGGCTATAATCAAATCTTAGAATGACTTATAAGGTTACAATTACAATACTACTGGAATAATACTGGAACTACAATAATACTGGAATACAATTTGCGCAGCAAAATATGCTGTAATGAACTTCCGACCGAGGTATTAACCATTTTACTTGACGTTCATTATGAAAAATCTGAATTTCCTGCTCACAGGGAAAATTCAGAGTCTACTTGAATCAAATCACGCACTACAATAGTTTTGGCAGGCTTCTCATTACGCAGTATTTCTTCCCAAACTGTGTTCTCCCAAGTGTGAACAACGTACAATAATTGAACCGAAACTTATTACACTGAGAAAAAGCCGGAGAAAGGATTAGAGTAAGAACCTTCCAACTGACATCGGCAGACAGTTTACTAGATCAGAAGTCATAAGTGATAAATAACACTAACCATTATCAACTTATCAATAGTGAAATACTGCACACCACAGACATGACATGCAAGGTAATTGCAATTGATATGTTGAGAGCTTAAGTGATCTTGGAAGCTGTTACGAGCAAATGTTTGGAAGTTGCAAGAACCTGCAATGACAAAAATAATCAGATAAAGCTCAAGACAACTAGATTCACAGAAAAAAAATTTTACATTGAGAAAGTAAAAATCGCAGAGAGCGGAATGATAAAAGCTTTTCTTTACAGGGCAGATGATGCTCATTGACTCCCTGAGGGCATAAGTAGAATTAGGGGTGCAGAGATAAGACCCCACAGGTGCGAGCATTACTGAGAGCAGACCATGGACTCATCCTAAGTTTGTGGGAACTTGCACCTCATTCGTCTTGAAACTTCAAACGATGGGGACTTTTTTAAAAGGTCATTTAAAGTGGTGACTCTTCTAAAAAAAAAAAAGGTAAATAATTGTGACGGCTATGCTATATAGGATAATTGAATCAACGTATGCGAAAACGTCGAATGTCCAAGACAGTGTTTCAGAATATGAGTGGACAATTTTTTTGTATCTTAACGATACAAGATGGTTTAAGACGTTCGGAATGTAGAACAATTTTACAAATAATCCCCTAAGTGTAATTAAACTTATACAAAAGAGATCGATCCTATTCATCAGTGACTTGGGACAAAAGAAATCCACCACAATTATGAGACCCTGTATTGAACGACGGACCTCTCCACTTGCGTCGATTCAATTAATTGTGATGAAGGCTCCAAAGAGAGGTGATCAATTATACTTGGAGGCTGTGAAAACTTAAATTTTGTTGACACATGCTCTAAATTCAGCTAATCATGGCAGAGAAGAAAATTGTTTGCCATTGGGAATAATGCATATAAGCAAATTAGGACTTTTCAGCTTCGGGGGAAAAGTAGGAGTATCGTTAAGGGCTTTTTCCGGCCTCACCTGCATTTTGCTGAATAATTCATACTTTCCTGAGTATTATATTAAAACGGATTGGTTATGTGTAATTCACCTCAAGCAACAAGAAAGCCTTGAAAAAGTAACTGTCTTCAAAGACAAGAAAATAACTGATAAAATAATAATTAAAAATGCAAAGATGTCAACATACCAACAGCACATTTGTACGGCTTCAGGTTATCTACACTGGGGGGCTGAAGAGCTTTTGTTGTGGCAGCATAACAGGCAAAAATTAGTGGTGGAAGGCCCTCATGTGCATAGACCTGCAAAAGAAATTTTTGATAATGAGTAATGGTAGGCATTACCGGGGTGAACATGATTAATTAGTAAATTTTAAAAAGATTAGCTACATGCACTATGATGATAGTAGATCAAACAATCATGAGATTCAAATATCTGAGGAAATTTATCCCTTGCAGAGATTTAGCATACAATGGATTATCTTAAAATAATGTTAGTTTGGTTTAGCACCTCTCACTTTTTTTCAATTTGTGATTAGATTTTCCGTAAAAATGATATAATGATAACATGATTTGGGTAGAACAAAAAAAAAGAATGAAAGAACATTATGGTTTTTATGAGAGATTGTCATATCTTGGTGCTTTCTGATGGATTTTTCAAACCAACCGAAAATAGACGAAAGAGATTAGAGACTGTCTTTTTGGTGATAGTTGTTCTGATCTGCAAAGCGTACCTATTCTGTGTAAATCAATGTTTTATGGTGATACTGGAATAAATAAATCAATTAATCACCTGGTGCCATGCTACATGCCATTTGGCAAAACCACGGTAAAAACAATGGCCACACTGAAATTGTGATCTTCCATGCTCATCTTCGATATGTTGTTTTAGGTCAATTGGTCCTTCTGCATCAAAACCGCAATAGGCACATAAATTCCACTCCTTTGTTTTCAAATGCATACTAGCTGCTTTGTTTCTTCCAATTTTCTTGATAAATGCTGAAAAAGGAGGATAATTTATTATATGTACTTAGAGTGAAGATGATAACTGCTGGGGCATTATTGATACAAAAAACTAAAATTAGCCTATTTTTGCAGACAGTGTGTGGCATGTTTTAAAAAAGGTGTCTTCAGTTCCTGACACCCAATTGAGGGCATACTTCTATTAAAAGGTTGGTTCTGCCTCTCCTGCTATCAAAAGTTTCGTAACTTTTAAAACTGACAATGTAGGAATAATCCAAAAATTCTGCAAGGAGAAATGCTACTCCATGAAATATCAATTTGGTGTCTACCAAAAAGTTTTCACTGAATGACAAAATTACTTACACTGATTGGTGATGAAATTTATAAACTTTATGCGCTTATCCCAATACAAGAATGTAACATTGCCAGTTAGTGAGCCATGATGAGTTTGACCCTGACTATTTAGTTTCTTTTCCTTAAAAATACATTTAATTTTCAAACATTTACTTGTAGATTTTTTCGTTTTAATTGCAATCAGTAAATTGAAATCGTAGGTCAGTTAGACCATTGGATACAAACACAAACAATTTTTCTATTTAGCAAGCGCTGCAATTACTCACCCTATCAAACACACACATTACTCCATAAACGAAATTGAAAAGTAAAGAAGTTACACATGTTATTCATCTTTAATCGATTTAGAACGCAGTAATCTCAATACAAAGGGTCCAACACTTAATGAGCACTAAAATTGGGAAAAAAAATTTGACAAGCAAAAAGAAGAAAAAATCATCACTTTCGAAATTTGAGGAAAATTTTGTGGAGAGCCAACAAGAAAAATGTGGAAAACCGTTGGGCGTGTGCGAAAAAATTTGGAAGCCTGGAATATTCTGCATCCTTACATTTGAAGATAATGAAGGACAAATAATTTTTGAGAGTTTGACATCTTTTAGAACAGAGTAATTTTTTACAACTGAGATAATAAGTAATGTTTGCAGTGCTTCAGACAGTGGTATGTAGCACGGTAAAAGAAAACTTCAAGACAAAATTACATCCTCCTTTCACACATTAGAAATAAAAGTCTTCTGTAGTAAATACATAAATAGACGTACCTCGGACGTGAGTTTCATGATTAGTAATATGTCGGATGAAACTGGTGCCATTTACAGCTGAGAACGAGCACACTGCACCCATACATTTGTAGAGTTTTACTAATGAAGCTGGACCCAGCATCGCCTCGTAGCATTCAGGACTCTTCACAATGTTCTGCAAGATGAGCAATGGATATGCAGTATGTGTCATCCGATGGTTAACCATACTGGATTCAGTGATGGCAAATTTCAGTTCGCTTGATGTGAGAATGAGTCTCCGTGGTCTTCTAGGACACTCAATTTTGAACAGGTCAATGTTTATGTGGTGATAGATGGAACAGACTCTGCAGTACATGAATAGAACATATCCGGGGCTCGCTTTTACAGCATTAATAAAACTTGTTGACTGACCCTTCAAAAGCTCTTCCATGGCGATTCCTGATTGAAGTTTGAACTTGTACATGGATTTTATCGAGCCTGATTCACTTCCTGGATCTCGCAACATTATCGATGACAAGCGTTTAGGACCCAGTGGTGTGAGGTACAAAAGCTTATCTGTGTTCAGAAGTATTGATAGAGGAAGCTCACTTTCAGTTGAATTTACTTGCGTTTCTGATACCTAAAAATGATGGAAAAAGCAGAACTTCAGTAAACTTAGAAGCCAAAAATAAAATGGACCAGTAAACGAAGTTGAAAATCGACCAACACAATACAGGTTTCTCACTAAAATTACTTGTTCAACATGGAGAACACATTGAAAATTTCCATTCATCAGTGAAAAATGAATGTTGATCATGTACTTGGCAGGAGTTTCCTGAATAAAAACGAAGTTCCTTTCCTATCGCTGGCTCAAATCTCAAAAAACTTGAACTTTTTAGAGAGCTCTGAATAAAAGAAATTAGGAAATATGCAGAGGTTTGTTTTTATTATTTTTAGTTCCTCCAGGTATAAATTACACAGAACTTTGTTCATACATGACTCTTTTAAGTATTGCCCTAGAAACTACATGAAGCAAAAAAGGGTCATATCAAGATTTTTTGAGAGCTGATAGAGATAGGGATTGTTTTGAAAATCAATTCACATGGTTTTGAGGAGTAGAGAGACTCACAAGCTACAAGACAGGGGTTTAGTTTCAAAGAGGAGTTGCATACTTCCTATTTATTCTTGTTGACTGCCATGCCAGTCAACTCCACTGGTTTTCATATGTTCCCCAGGGACCTAGTGATCATTGAAAGTGACAGACACTCAGATGTTCGAATTTCCCATATCATCTGAGCCACACAGATCGCAATATTTCCATGCACTCACAAGGAACTAGTAGTATTGTTAAACGCCCAATGGAGAGCATCACCATTGTATGTCTTGAAAAATTTGTCGGCAAAAAGCATTCTCTGAGGTCGTTTTACGTGAGTTGTTATGGCCTGGTAAGAAATAAGTGCAAAAACACTAAGGCCACCTTAAAATGAAAAAACTATTTGATGTCATTTCTTTTAAACTTTAGTGATTTTTCATCTCGGTGAGAAGCTATTTTAAGAATGACAAATCATTCAGTACCACTTCGAAAATTTTGTGATTTCTGTTTCCAAGGTTAGGATATTTTTAAAGTGAAAAACGGACCTATACCACTTCTGGTTGACTTCTGTGATTCCTCTTTTTTATGTTTAGAATTTACTGTGAAAATTGGAAGCCACACGGTAATTTTATTCCGGGGTAAATAAATGAAGTGGAAGGAAATTTTGAAAAAATAAAATAATTTCTACTCCAGGGACTTTAAAGTACTCACAAGTTTCAAAGGAGAGTCTTCTCCGAGAGATGAAAGGCTCATGACACTTGAAATCTGAATACCACTCTCAGCATCTGCAAAAAAAAATAATTATATACAACTTTCTGTCAGATCTTGTGATTGTGAGGAGACCAAAAGTTTTTGGCAAATAATAAACGCCTGAAGAGCAGAAAAAGAGACTCCAAAAAAATTTTCATATTTGATAGCTCTCAACCTGGTTAAATCTTATATATTGACTACTTTCAACTGTTGAATGGACCGCTAAACAAGGTATAAAATGAATCACTACAGCGTAGGGGTGTTCAAACGAATTCTTGCCGGAATGCTAATTGGTATCATCTTAAATGAGAAAAAAAACCCTAAGAAGTGGCCCAAATACTGTAACAAGGTGGAGAAATGGTGCTGGGTCCACACCATTTTGCGGGGAAATCAAAGCCAAGCAGTTCCAGAAATTTTAATTAGAGTCAAAAATTAATTTTTTTAACTCTAATGAGTACCAGTATAAAACTTGGGGGGGGGGGGGGTGTGCAGTTTGCAATGGAATATTAATTCGGAGTTTTGTAATTCACAAATCTTTCTTCTGTCACCTAATGACATTCGTGGTCCTATATCCCTGAGGCTTGCAATGCAAACGTATCGTAAGCACTTCTGGAGCAAATGACTAATTGTACTCTGCCTGGCTGTCTGGGAATGCTTTACCAGGAACAGCCAATTTTTTAAATTTCTGCCAATAAATCACAACTACTAACTTGGAAAACGTTAAAGTACTGCTAGCATGCATTGTGAAAAAAACCTACAGAAGTTCCGATGATACCCCATTGGATGCATTAACATACCTTTTTCTGCAGTAGATGAATCGCGCATCTGCTGATCCAACAATTTACGGTCAAGCATCTCTTCTAACGGCCTAACTCTTAGTCTGGGCTGCTGAGGTAGTGGTGGAGGGACTTGCACTACATTTCCTACTCCTGAGGAACTAGACTCTGGAAGTTCTGTTGTAACTGCTTTTGAAGGACTTGTTATGATGCAAGAGGGTAACGCCTGAGAATTTTTTATGACAGTATGTGGTCTTGACTCAGGAGGAATACCTTCAACTGATGTTATGGCTGAAAGAATCACAACATTATGAATTTAGAATTTAAAAGAGCTAAAACAAACAGATTAAATAAAATGATAGCTACTTTATGTTGATAAACATAATGCAACGATCATCCATAAAGTTTGGTGCATTTTGATTTAACTTGAAAATTATTCAAAGTAGAAAAAATGTAATTTTTGAATACTAGCAGATTAGATGCAAATATTCCAAGTAAATTGATGTCCTGAGTATCCTGGTTTTCTGATTGTTATGAACTTGAGCTTAAATTGAAAGCGAGAAAGGAGCTGATTCGCAAACCTAATAAGATTTTGTCTATGTTTAAACTTTATCAATATTATGTATCAAATCATGCTAAATTTCACGAATGACCCTCGTATTTAGAGAGGATTTTCCACTTCAGACCTTAAAATTTCCCAAATTGAAGACTTAGCTACAAATACCCTGATAATTAGACCAAGTTTCGAAGAATTATAACTTTGATCTCCTTTTTATTAAATTGTTCAAACTTTAGAAAAGAGAATGTAAACTTTTGATGACTTTTACGTTATTACACATGGAATATTTTAAAATGTTCATTGATTCAAGTAAATCAAAGTTTCCTTATTTTTCATTAGCAATCTTCCAACCTTTGAATTTTTCAAAAAAAAAAAAAAAAAAATACTCTTTCCTACAAGGTGGCCTCTTTGAAGCCAACACATTCTGAGTGAGGCTATTTATTCTCAGTAACAGAAATATATTTATAGGGAACATATCACAGTGCATTTAAACATGGGATGAATAGCTCTATCTCTTAAGGTATGTGTATAAAAGAAACATGCTAAGGGGATTCTCCAGAGTGAGTTCAAAAAAATGTTGAGTCACCAATATGAAAGTCAAACTATAATAGACAACCCAAACATGGATCCTACTGACTTCACAATCCAATTTTTATAAATTAAATTATTCTAACTTTGAATTAGAGAGTGTAAACTTTTGATAACTTTGATGTCATTTCACATGGAATATTTTGAAATTTCCATTGACTCTCCTGATCTTGACTTAGTGTATTTAGAAGCATATTATTTATATCAGCTAATGATAATGCATTTTACCTGGGTTAGCTGTAGGTTTGATGAGCTCAAATATGGTAACTGGAGATAAATGTGCCGAAACTAAATGATTTGAGGCAATGCTGATAGGATACTTTTCCAACCCTCTGGCAACAATAGTCTGACCACACGGCTCACACAGACCAGTCCACTTGACGTCAGTATGAAATGAATTGAAGTGAGTAACCAGCTGTTCCACAGTATCTGTTCTATGGCTGCACATCTTTCCACTTTTGAGAGGAGCGAAGCAACTAAAGGCAACATGATTTACTTCCTTCACAGCGCCAATAGGACCGACTCTCAGCTTCCGCACAGCAGGATCTTTCATTGTATACTTTTGGTTCTGGGATGGTTTCTTCACTGAGAGCAGGGATGGTAATGGTTTGCAAGTTTTAGGAGTAGACGACTCCTTAGAATGAGATGATGTAAGTAGATTCCCAATATTCAAAAATGCATTGGAAGGCTTGAGAATAGAAACTGAACTCTCAGACGATTCGGTTGTCATATGAAGATTAAAGTCAATGACATTCATAATTTTCGGCAGGGAACACTCAACTGAGTCTGGAATGTGTATTGTCGGAGCTTCGGACTCCAAACTAGTTTTGGATTTGAGGATATTTGGGGCAAATTTCTTCAAGGATAAAGGAAGTGCTTCACCCAAATCCATAGCTTCAACTTCTGTCAACTTCAACTTCTTTTCAAGTTCAGTCAAGTAGTTTCTGCCGCTTTTAGTTTTCAACCTGTTGTGTAAGTCTTCTAAAAACTTTATGCGAGACTGAGGGGAGTTCTCTTTGTCCAATTGAATAGAAAATGATTCTGGTCCACTATTTATGAACGCATAATTGTGCTCAGTGTTCCTTCCTTCTTCATCCATTATAAGGTCTTGAGGCTTGGCAGCATGCTCCTTGCTCAACTGATTAACATTCGTCCTCAAAGATTTGGAGAAAAGATATGGCTCTTTGCCTGCCTTTGATAGTCTTAGAATAATTTTTTCTAGATTTGTGTGCTCTATTTCGCGTACGGTGATAATTTTTTCAAAACTATGACTGCTTGGAAGTGGTGCTTTATGATCTGTGAATGTTATATTTGATTTGTGCTTGGGAGAGGAAAAACTTCTAGCGAAAGGATTGGCACACTTTGTGGAATCGTTTGGATTGCTACCACAAATTTCCTTCAAAGATAATTTTTCAAAATGTTTAGCAACATCTTTTGGGTCATCAAATGACAAATAAAACTTGGGGCAGCTACAGCTAGTAATGTCTTCTTTTTTGTAGTCATGCCACTTCTTGGCGACTGCATCTTCACAACTTTCAGCAAATAGATCGGAGGATAATTTAGACATATTTATACGCACAATTTGTGGCTCAAATTTGTCATTTTTGTGATATGTTAGATGGCGCACTAGATTCTCATAAACTAATTGAACAAAATTACATGAAGAACAAATATAGCCGAACAAAATTGAAGATTCTGGTGGTAAGAGATAACGATTGGATAAAAAGTGATTTCCAGGGGCACTTTCCTCATGAGAGACAAAATCGTCAATAGATGGTAAAATTAATTGACAGGGAGTACATTCATAGAGATATTCCCCTGTATGGAAACTGCAGTGTTCAAAAAATTTTCTAGCATTGTCATAAATGTTATTGCACATGCGACAAAGAAATAGGTTTGACCGCATTTTAGCCCGATATGCTCTGTATAAGAGATCTGACAGATCAGTGAGTATTTTCGGCTTAATTTCATCATTGATGGACAATGTTGCGTTACTGTCTCTTTCCAAGACACAATTATTAACCAATGATTGAAAAACTCCCGTCAAGTTGTCCGAGTGGTCCTTGAGCCACTTTTTTAAGAGAAGCTTATTGAGGCTTTCTTTATTTAGTACAGTCCCATCACATTCTTTGCTGGCTGGAAATCTAATTAAGAACTCATCCGGCACGTCTGAATAATCAAGGAAAATTGATTCTGCAATGGCACTTTCTCCTTCTTCATGGTGCAGCCGAGAACTCAAAACTTGATCCTCAGAGTGGTACAACAGGTAATGATCGGATATGTGACAGCCACTGTAAGAGCATAGTTTGCAGTCCATGCTCGCACCAAATTTGAAGTAGTAATCAGGATCCGTCCAGTCAACTTCAGACTTCAATTCATATTGTATCGCTGCTTCTTCTGCCGTAACTTTGGGAGTGATGGAATTGAAAGCCTGCAATGAGTTCTTTACACGGCTCCATTTCTCAGAATTTTTGTCAAGAATCAAGATGAAATCATCTAAATCCGGCTCTTCCATGTGGGCTGCTTTCCTCATTTTAATAGCACTTTTTACTTCTTCAGCTGTTTTGATTTTGATTGGTTCAGTAGATCCAGCTTTCTTTTGATCTTCTTTATTCACTTGCATTCTGGTCATTCGACCTGAGGTCATTTTACTTGTAGATAGAGCAATGTTCTTGACTGAAACTCTAGCCTTCGGCACAGGTTGAACTTGGTTCTGGACCACTTTACGTTTTTTGGGTTCCGAGAGACCTGATGAATTAGTTGAAATTTCAGAGAAAGAGGTAATCTTCCTCTTTCGGTCGAGCCTGCGTCCACATCCAAAGAACTTAACAATGTGCTTTGCGTTGATAGAACAGCCGGCTGAGGAACTAGTTTGCTTTTTGACCACAAAATATTTACTTTTGAATTCAGCCAAATTAAATCTTTTTCTTCTGAATTTTGGTGTGAAGTAATCTAGTGCATAGATTTCAGGAAGATCAAAGAAGGACGGCGGATCTATTAGTGGCAAAATTTCATGGGAAGGATACAATTGGGGAGGGGCTTTCTCTGGGCTTTCAGATTTTGATGGCAGTTCATTTACTCCTAAAGATTCGTTTTCTTTCAAATCAGTAAAAGCCTCTAAAACGGGAGGAGGTGAGTCCGTTGAATTGCGTTTTGGCTTTTTGTGACTATCTTCATCACTGTCTGACGAGTTGATATGCTGAGAACTTGGTTTTCTCTTCACTTTGGCAGCCTTATTTTTTGTTGATTTGTCATTAGTTTCCAATCTCTCAGAGCTCTTTTTTCGACCTCGAGCAATAGGAATTTTCTCTAATGAGTCATCTGGTGACATCAGGTCCATTTCATGAGCTTTAACTCTACAAGAACGAATCCCAGTGGCCTTGATGACATCTTGCGATATAAAACTTTCTCGAAGATCCTCATGCAGTTTGTCTAGCTCATTTTTGGTTTTTCTTTGCTTGGGGCCTGTTTCAAAATTTTTGACCGCTCCAACACACATTTCTTTATAAATTTGATTTCTCTCTTCAATACTTAAAGAATCAGCACTGTTTTGTAAAAGATGAACAGAGCTTTGCTTTGAATTAGTCACAGCTTTCTTTTTGAGGGCCTTTTTGCCACGTTTTCTCTTGCGAGGATGTTCAACCTTATTAGTTACCTTTACTGGCTGAGATTCAAGAACACTTTTATCTTGCACGGTTTCAACATCAAGACCGTATTTTTCTTGGTTTAGAGTGACGCCCGTGTTTGAATTCTGGACTGCACTTGCATTAGACGATTCTGTTGCCAAATCCTGTGCTGAGCATCCTGCTGCTGGTTTCGACAAACCTTCTTCGGGTTCAGGCTCTGTAAGAGATGCATTTAAAGATAAGCTTTTTTCGGGCTCAGGGGCTGATAACAGTTGCCCATTTTCATCTCCCTGGGGAACTTCTGGAAGGACTTGAGTTTTGGTTATTTCACCAGCATTTTCATCATGTCCATCCGTTTCTTTACATTTTAATACGGATTCATTTGCAGGTTTAGAAATATCTTCTTTGGCAATAACTCCATCATATTCACTTGAAGCAGACAGGTGTTCATCTGGCACAATTTCTGACGCAGTTCCTTCTGAAGTCTCCGTCGATTTGGCTTTAGGGGTATCTTGTTCTCTCTTGATGGGTTCAGCGGAGGAGCTTGAAGCTTTATCTTTTCCCGTCAACAGGTCCTTAATTTTATCTAGTGTATCACCCTCCATAAGTTTCTTCACTAATTCTACGTTCTCTAAAAACTTGGGACCTAACTTTTCCTGTAACAGCATAGTTATCAGCAGTGGTGTAAAAGCAGTATTACTGCTGAGCGAATCAGTAATCAGAGACAGAACGTCCTTTGTAGCCGCTTGTGTCTTTGGAGCCCCTGGTTCATTTGTGTCACTTGTGCTGTCAACTTTGTTACAACTTATCTGATCTTTTTTATTCTCAATTGGTTTAATGAGGTCCTCAACATCATTATTTTGGTGTTTGGCATCTGATTCTATTATTTGCTTTTTGGTTGATGGTGTATTCTTGGAGTCAGTGGAAGGTTTGTCCCTGATACCATCTGATGAGCATGTCTCTTTTATTTTTTTAACTTTCACTGCTAAAACTTCATCATCACTAGAATCACTATCACTTGAAATTATTATTTCTGCAGTCGGTTTAGAATTTTTCTTTGATCCTGATTTTTTTGATGAGGTGATCTTTGATTCAGATATTTTTGACTTGTCCTTTTGCTTGCAGGCTCTGGAACACTTGTCCGAGCCCGATTTTTTCTTTTTTTTCTGTTTGTTAACTGAGTCTATGGAGGATGCAGAAGAAGAAGAATCACTGGAAGAACTTTGAGATTCTTTTGTTCCGCTCTGCTTCTTTTTCCTCATTTTTTTCTTACTTTTAATGCTATCTGCATCGCTTCCTTCAGAAGAGCTAGGATCAGTGGTCTGGTCATGCACCTTGACATTTTTAACTATTCCTTTGACTTTCTTAGATGATGACTTCTTTAATGGAACATCTGAATCACTTGTATCTCCTGGCAGGGCTTTCTTTTTAGCAGATTTATTTTTTACATCCGATTTTTTGGTTGAGGATGACATTTTGGAAACTTTTGACGTTTTTCCTACACTGCTTCCATCGGATTCGCTGTCGCTTTGAATGAGGGATTTTTTAGTTGAGATTGACTTGTTTGTCAATTTTGACGTTTTCTTTCCACTAGTTTCATCAGAGTCACTGTCGCTTCCAACAAGAGATTTATTGGTTGAAGATGACTTTTTGGAGGCTTTAGTCTTTTTTCCTTTATGGCTTTCATCAGAATCACTATCGCTTGAAACATCTGATTTTTTTATTGATGTTTTGGAAGCTTTGGACTTTTCTTCTTCACTGCTTTCATCAAAATTGATATCGCTTTCTGCAGAGCTATCCTTCCTCTTCGTTTTTTCCTTGCGTTTCTTTGTCTTTAATTTCTTCCCTCTTGGTAACTTTTCATTGGGTTCGTTAGTTCGAACTCTCATGGTACACTCATCATCGGATGAGTCAGAAATAACAATCTTGTTAGGATCAGTCTTAACACTCCTATTGGGAGTGGATTTATTTTTAGCATTTTCATCACTTTTCTTCGGATGATTTTCTGAATCTTCATCAGATGGAACAGTTTGACCAGGTTTACCCTCCTTTAAAAGACGACTACTTTCGTTTTCACGAGCCAGGGACTCTTCATCTAATGAGATGACAACTCTGGATGTTGTCTGAGGAATGCCACTAATTGTGACCTTAGAGGACTTCAATGGCTTTGTGGATCCACATGAATCTACCGTCAACTTCTTGGTGTCTTCATTTTGAAATTCCGAATCAGTTGCATCACCACCGTTTACCACATTTACTTGTGTTTTTGCCTCCTCATTTATTATTTCTTTGGGGGTCAAAAGTTTTGATGGTTGTTTTTCTGCAACTTCTTCTTTCTTAGATTTCAATGACTTCTTTGGAGAGTTCCTCTCAGTTTTGGCAGTACTTGACTTAGCTACTACATTATTCCCACTGTCATCAGGTACACTGATGTCATTGCCTAAGTTCATGCCCACGTCCACATCCATGTCTACGTCCATTGAGTCATCAAGTTCCACAGGAGAAATTTCATGTTGATCTGAGCTTTCCTTTCCAACGCTATTTTTTTTAGCCGAATCTCGGTCAGGGTCTCTTCTGGGATCTACTCGAGGAGCTTGTTGACTAATCTTCTTGGGGATTTTGTAGTTTTGAATTCCATAGCCACGGCCTGTCTTCGATGTGATAGGTTTTCTGGCATTATTATCTAATGGTGACAGAAAGTCTTCCCTTTCATCCGGCTCAGGAATCGTTTTGACACAGGACCTATCTTTAGATTTTTGGCGTGATCTTGAAATATCATCAACAGTGCTTTTCTTGCTGCCTCTTGGTGGTCTACTTCTAGATCTTCCAGGTCGTCCCTCTGTTTCTAAACTACGCCTTCTAGGATCACGGTTATTGCCAGGCCTCTCTTCATCCCGAATATTCTGTTTTCTCATGTTCATTGCCGAATCACCCATTCGAGCTCTTGGGTCAGCAGAGGACGGGCGGGACTTGATGCTTTCACTAAAGCGCGAATCACCTGTGCGTGAACCACTTACTCGAGGATCGCTTGAGCGAGGATCTCTTGAACGGTAATCAGAACGGTCAAATGTACGATGGTCATTAAAACGAAGATCACTAGGACGATGGTCGGAAAAACGATCATCGCTTGAACGATGGTCACCTGTAAGGCGATCATTAGAACGCTGATCAAGATGGTGATGGGATGAGTAGTAGTCATCATATCTATCCCGCTTATCAATGTTATAACGTACATCTGGGTTCCATCTTGATGCAGTTTGGGACCAAAGGTCAGCTGGGTCAGGAGATGACTGAGATCGGAGAAGGGAATCCACGGGCCTGTGTGATGAACTTGGAGCAATTTTATATTGATCGGGATTTCCTGTTCTGGGCAATACATCACTGTAGGTTGGTGTAACAGGTTGGTGAAAACTACTTCTGAAAGTTTCATTGAAATCACCTGCAGAGTTCGGTGCAGAAGGTTGATGAAAACTACTCCTGAAGGTGCTATTAAAATCAGTTGCAGAGCTTGATTCGTTATTGGCTGAAAAACAAGTTCTAATAGATTCATTGTAAGAGCTATTTGTGGTACTCCTGGGAGGAATTTTTTGGTTGAAAGAACTTGGAACATTACTGGTAGGAAATCTAGTATTATCACAGTTACCTCGACCCAGTGGAGGAGTGGGCAAAAGGGCTTTACCTACGGGCCTTATTGGAGGTGGTCTGGAACTTGATCCACCTGAGTGCGTTTTCAAGCTGTTAATGGTATCAATATTTTTTTCAGGTACTTTAGAATGCTTTACCGGTGTGGTACATTTTGGGTCTTTCTTATCATTGCAAGGCACTTGTGAGTTTACTAAAGAGTCTACGAACAGCGAATTCTTGGTCTCTCTGGAGGCTGCTAGGTCATTAACGACCCCTGGTTTGAGATTAGAGATCATTCTGTCTTTTCTAGGCGTGTTGGGTGTTTTCCCTAATTTTTGCATTGTTGTAATACCCTCTGCTAATTTAGAGCGAATTCTTGATGTTCCGCTGGTTTCCTTTGGAGGACAGGTACTGGTGGATGTCTCTTCAGGTGAGTCTGGAGACATTTGCATGTCTTCGTTCATAATAATGTCTTCTGCAGGACTTGAAAATTCTTGTGGACTAGAAGCAGGAGTGAATCTCGAAGTACGGTTAGCTTGAGAGAACACAGATGGAGGAATACAGTTAGAAGTAGTGACAGATCTACTAGTGAATGCTGGAGGGTGGTGTGAGACACTAGGTGGGTGGACTTGAGGAGTTGTATAAGCCGGATGTTGGTAAGGACGGATAGGTCCGGCATTACTGGAATGACTAGAAATAGCTGTTGAGTTGAATCTTGAGGTAGGGTGCTGCCAGGAGCCTGCTAAACTTGTGACCTGAGTGTGACTTTGATTGTTGATACTTAAATGGGATGACAGAAGATCAGATGAAGTCCTTCGTCTGGGGTCAGCAATGAGAGGCTTTCCTAAATACCTCTGAATGTTCGACTGCTGAGCAGAGCTACCACCAATATTGGAAGTAGGACGTCTCCGAGGATCAGCCGAGTGAGGTTTTACATCGGTACCACTTGGAATTTTGTTCATACTTTGGTCAGCATGCATGGAATGCCTCAGAGAATTCGTACTTGTACTATGGATTTGAACATTGTGAGAACTAGGAAAGTTCAGATCACTAGAGACTACAGAGGAGTGAGCTGAGCTATATGGTGGTTGGTGAGAGCTTGATGCCAAATTAGGTAGATTATTCGTATATGGCATGGAAGAGAGACCTCTGTCAGAGGGTAGTAGTGGTTCAATGTCAAAATTTTCTTGATAAGGACAAACACTTGATGGAGAGGTATTTTCTGACTTTTGATCAAGGCTGCTGGGCTTAGAGGTGCTTCCTTCAGTCTGAGATGGAGTCTTAGAATTTAAAAATGTGGGTGGCATTCTGAGTTGTAGGTTTTTTACTATTTCATACACATGATCCGGGATATCTACTTGACTCCTGAAACAGACAAAAAAAATGGTAAATTGTAGACACAATCTTGATAACGGTAGTCCATGAGCTCCTTCAGAAAAGACTAAGTAATAAATTTTATACACTTCTAAAAGTGGTTTCAGGACTTTTTTTTAAACCAAAACTGATGACATAAGGATAATTTTTGAGCAGTCTACAGATAAGACAAGCATGCAAACCAGATAAAATCTAAAACCCATGTGCCGTGCCTCACAACATATCCTGAATGCATCAGCGCTGTGGCCCAATTATTGAAACTATGTCAGCTCGAATCGAAAAGACACAGCCCTATATGAACCGTGCAATACATCACAATTCGATGTCTTATCGGACTGCTTTAAAATTTCAATAATCAGCCCGGTGGCATACAAACACACGACTTATCACGCACGAATAGAATGCAAACACAATGTAAAACAAAAAAACTAAGCTAATAATAAGAATAGTAATGAAAAAAAAATTGGAAACAAGTAAAAAATTCAATCACACCAGGGGATTACTACTTGCGATTCAGGAGCATAGAGTCCAATACAGTAGCAATGTGCTGGAGCCTCGAAGAAAACACTTTTCGAGGCTGTTTTGTTCAGTACTGCTGCAACTAGTGCTCAAGAGACTGGTGATACCGTATGCAAGGGGACCCAGCTCTAGGCTTTCCTCAGGAAAAATAGGTATAAAATTTAGTTCCTATAAACCGAATGTTCCTTACATTTTTTTATTTGGTGAGACTTTGGTCAACTTAATTTGCCAAAATAATTAACGATTAAAATTAATAAATCCCAAAAACTGCCCACAATTCTTCCATGAGCCCTAATGTTAAAAAATGCCATGTGGCTCTCAGAAGGTTCCCACTTTCTAGCAAGCAAGACGCATCTTTCTAGGATTGACTCCATCGGCGTTCCAGTACATTGCAACTCTATTACACTCTATGCCTGGGAGTTATGGAACCATTTACTCTTTTTTTAACCTCTTAAAAATTGTATTACGGACTCATTCATACTAACCTTAGCGAAACTTCATGACTTAATAATTTGTTTCCTATATTCTTTAAACGTGCAATTTTTCAAAAATTTAATTTGATTTACTTGGACATAGCTATGTTGTATTCCATCCAACGCATTTCGGTATTCTCAAATGACCATTCTCAGTGACTGAACTCATGCTCCCGCCATGGCTGGTGGATGTATGAGGCAGTTGATGAGTGGAAGCATGAGATTAATCACTGAGGATGGTTGTGCAGAACAACTAAAACGCACTCAATAAAATACAACATACATTCAAATGAGTAAAATTCAGATTTAGAGTCCTGTTATTGTGCAAATCCAACCTTTGCTTAATGTATTTTCTGGTAATTAATGTTCTGCTGATTCTCAGAGACCTGCCAAACTTTGGGCTTGCAAGTAGTTTGAATGATAAGTTCTTCGACTTTGATTGAAAGTTATTAGATAGGAAGAATGTATTTACAAAGAAAATTTCGAAAAAACACTTGTCTACCAAACCAAAATAAAAAAGTAAATGTTTTTTAAGTAAAATTCATTATGCATACAAAAATTCCTTCCACTTGGTGATGCCCATTCATTATAAAAAAGTAAATTAATCGTTTGGACAAAAGCTACTTACAGATCTGGGATAGTAACTGGATTGGAAGAATCCTGGAGATTATGACTAGGCTTAAAACTGACGGGTCTGTCAGCCTTATTTTCATCGGTATGAGACAGTTTGGTCGTTTTACTACTGCTTACACTTAGGTGATCCAGCTGGTTTGTCACTTCAGCTCTCATTTTCTTTTGATCTTCTTTTGCGGACCGACTTAGAGGCGGTTTGTTAAGTACTTTTTTATCCTTGTTCTCTTTCCTGTTTTGGGCAGCATTCTTTGCTTCAATGTTGTTGACTTTATTGAATTGCAATTTGTTCTGCTGATCAGACTGTTTGTTTCTTGCTTTACTCCACACTTCTTCATGAGTGGCATTGCTGGCACTACTCTCACTTGCAGATGGCTTGCCTCCAGCAGTCTGATTTCCAAGTTTATTTTGTGAATTACTCGTCTTCAATGCACCACCAGAGCTCTTAGAGGATGATGCGGTCTGTTTAGTTTCCGTGACAATTTTCTCAGTTTTACTTTTGGATGGACTTTTCCCCTCATCATCAGTTATGACGATCACGTCAGATTTTTCACCAGATGAACCTGATTTTGGTGGCAGGCATCTTGGTGAAAACTTTGATGAAAAACTTCCACTATCAGCAAATCCAAATCCAAAGCTGCTTGACGACTTTGAGTCTACTTCTGGAGATCCAGGTTTTCCAAAATTGCTGGGCTTTTTATTCAGGTCTTCTTCGTTTCTGGGCCCAGGTTTTGGACCTGAGCAAACATAGTTGGCTTTACCAGCAGCCGCAGAAGGATTGCAAAGGCAACAAAGGCAGTCTTCAGCATGTGGAGGTGAGAAATAATGTTTCAGACATTTTTCACACTTTTCGTTTCTATCAGTCTTTTCAGGTGTCTTAGATGGGCCAGCTTCAGGCGAAAGTTCATTTCCTTTATTCTAAAACCAAAAGCAGGGAAAAAATAAATAGGGGCATAAAGTGAAGAGAGAATGATGAAAAAAAATTCTTAGAAAGTATCAAACCTAATTTCCACTTTTGTTCCTCCTGATGATGGTGAGAAGGGGAGTAATATTTTCGTAATATTCCTAACTTTCGATTCCAAAATAGAGGAGACAAACCAAGTTTCGACTGCTAGTTTTTTTGTTTGGTTTACTTTTCCTTCTTACTTGCCACTAGAAGTTTGAAGAAAAAGAATGAAGTCACCATCCTAGCTTTTTAATTAATTTGTGACATGAGCTCTCAGATGAAATGAAACCTAGACTGACAGTAAAAAGGTGCTCTGTTAGGAATAAATTAAAATAAAAATGGAAAGATAATAATTGTAGAGACAGTATATGTGTTCAGTACTCCTCATTCTGGGAATCAGAGTAGGCTCCTGCTGGCGTCACAAACTCCGATGGGCGAGGGGCGGCTGTGCAGCCGCCTGGGAGAGGGGATCTGCGCAAAGACTGACCTAGTCTCATTAGGCCATGAAACATAACCTAACCTTGACACCCCCTCCCAGAATTTCACTGTCAAAAGCAAGACCAATCCACACAGGTCAGTCATTGCGCATCTTTTTGAAATCCACTCCCCCGCCTGGCCTTAACTCGGCGGCACTCCATGCTAAGTCACAATGGCTGCTCCCATTAGAAATACATTGCAAACACTCAATACTACGTCACTGCGCAGTAGAGTTCTAAAACTCATCCTCCGGAATGACTGACCTGTGCGGATTGATCTTGGTCAAAAGACAGGAGACTAGAGAGGCAGGAAAGGCCTAAATCTATGCCTAAATCATGGTGGCTCTTGTAGCGTAGGCATTTTCTACTTTCTGAAACTGCTTCATCCCATCAACTGAATACACAGGACCGTTCCGTGATTAAAAGCACAGTCTCTAACACAACTTATTTTTTCAAACTGAGCAAATTATCTCAGAAATTATCACGTTTGATGTTGAATAGTAAGGTTATGTTTGATTATTCGGATCCAGTTCGATACAATCAATACCTACTGTGACATGGCACTAATAGTGTCTATAGACAGCAATGCAGCATAGATGAAATTAAGAATTTTGTCCTTGCGGGGCATGGTTTGCTGTCATAATGAGCGACTGTTTGCTTGCCGCAAGACAATGCCTTGTTGCAAGAAGGGCAATCCCTGTATTTCTTTGCACTTTCAGACAAAGTTAGTATGGTTTTACGGCATTAAGGAAGATTTATACTTACTTTGAATCGTTTCTTGAAAAATTCTTCACACTTTAACAAGGTGTCTAGCTTGCACCTAAATAAAAACATGATGAAAATTCATTAAGTATACATCAAGAAAAAGTGGGATGAGACATTAAAAAAGAAAAACACTTTCTCTTCTTATTTTATTTCATTTCATCTCCTTTCCAATCTTATTTCCTTCTCTTAAGTTTCCAATCTTATAATTTGAGCTCCCTTTACATGAGGAAACCTGATGCAGCTCTGATTTTCCTTTGGTCCAACTCAACCCCATTACATAAAATCTAAAAAATCACCAGTTCTTAAAGTCAAAACTTATTAGGTGAGGAGTTTTTTTATTGAGCACAGTGAAAACAAAACAACACTGCAAATTGTGATCAAGTATATTCTCTGTTTTTTCATGGTTTGACGATTAACGAAAACAAATTATTAGAGGTAGGTTAACAATTGGCTGGAGAGTAGAGAGTAACACGCAATTTCTTTAACCGAAAGGAATTCAGGGATCTGTAGTTTATGATCGGTTTTGAAGGCATACTAATTTGAAATCTCTTTGTGGAGGAAGAGATGTGAACTTTCAAAATGCATAAGTAATGATTAACATATCAAACATAGCCGGTGCACTTATGAATCAAAAGGCATTTATTCGTAAGGAATATTTTTTCCTGAACCCGAAGATCAACTTGTTTGAAAATTGAAATCAAAGAGTTGCTGCTAATCTTCAGTGCCGCTGCATGGCCAGGGAAATAGGACAAATTTCTACAGAACAGAGAGACTCTACTGCCTGGCTTACTTTAGATAAGATGCTGCCCTCATCAAAATGTTGAATATTAATGGTGCAAGTCGATAAATTCGGATGATCCAGACCGCCCGTATGAGGCTTTTTTCTGGGTCATAATTGTCAGATTAAGCCTCTCCCCATACCTCCGTCGAAAAAAACGATTTGCACTGCAATTTTGCACATCTAGATTGAGGAGCAAGTTCTTCTTTTGAGAGTTACACTTAATGAAAACTAATTGAATAAGCTGTTGAGATTACCGCTTTTTTGAAGTAAAAAGGACATGCAGACTCCGAAAACGTTGATATTGTTTCTCAATTTGCACACTGCACGATCCAGCTTTCTTCTTCTGCTCATAATTTGCTAGTAGTTTCTTGATCAAAGGGACATAAACTTGCAATTCTTTGAATTTCGCATCGAAAATCAGCCTGTCCTCTTTGGAGAGATTATCCTTGTCATCATCTTCTTTTTCATCTGTTCGTCATATGGAAAACAAAAACTTAATTACTTAAAATAATTTTAATTGGTCTTGTTCATCCAAGATTTCAACTAAGCTTGTTACACTTTTCACAAAATCAAAGCTCTTTAATGACAGCTTGAGAAGTTAAAATGGAATAAATACATCTCCATTAGCAGTTACCGAAAGTTATATTTCCTTTAAAATTCAAATTGAGGAGCCAATTCTCTTTCCGTTGGCATGAGTACCTCATTAAATCTAAAATTTATCAAGATGTAATACAGAAGTTACACTGCTGTACCAAACATTGTAAGGGTGGTCTCTTTGGAGAGATTATCCTTGTCATCATCTTCTTTTTCATCTGTTTGTCATATGGAAAACAAAAACTTAATTACTTAAAATAATTTTAATTGGTCTTGTTAATCCAAGATTTCAACTAAGCTTGTTACACTTTTCACAAGATCAAAGCTCTTTAATGACAGCTTGAGAAGTTAAAATGGAATAAATACATCTCCATTAGCAGTTACCGAAAGTTATATTTCCTTTAAAATTCAAATTGAGGAGCCAATTCTCTTTCCGTTGGCATGAGTACCTCATTAAATCTAAAATTTATCAAGATGTAATACAGAAGTTACACTGCTGTGTCAAACATTGTAAGGGTGGTGGAAAACGGTAATATTTAAGTACACGACTGAAATAAAAAAAAAAAAATGCCTATATCCAATTGCATTGTGGCAAATTTCCAATGATGATTTACAGTTTGAAGAGCAACCTGTTCAACATCTTTTCCAGCAAGGGTCTGAGCATTATCGACACTCAGAAATAAAAGAAAAAAGAAAAAAAAAGAAAACAATGCTCACGGAAAATGCGTGGGAAATGATTTGGTCAATGCTTGATATTTTTTCTTCTTTCAATTGTACAAAATCAAAGATTTTGAACCACTACAACGTGCATTTTTCGACCTTAGCCATCAATGGGGTGACATTACTATCACTTTGATTAGATTTTGACTGATAATAGAATTAATTTAAAGTCACCTATACCCATAGAGAAAAAAAAAGGAGGTGTTTGCATTTCGGGCATCTTGGAATTTTTTTGATGACGTACGTCAGTACAGCGACGTTTATCATCGATTTTCTTGGAAATGGTGTAATTTATGGAAAAAGTCATTCTATAAAAAGTGCTTGAAATTATATCATGAGATGATTTGAGAAAAAAAATCGGACATTATGGTCCGTTTTTCATGATTCAAATTCGGATTTCGCTGGCCAGGTTGTACCGACCTACGTCACAGGGTAAACAAACCTCAAGATGCAAACACCTCCTTTTTTTTTCCCTATGACCTATACTTACGGTTGGATGCAAGAGTCCTACAATACCCCTGTAACTGTTTTGTTGATTATGTCATCGAGTTGAAACTTTAGGAATAGCAAAGTGAACTACTTTCTGGCCAACCCAAAATTTCGCGAAGATCCTCCTAAGAGGGAGGGGGGAGGGGCACAGACCCTAAGTTTTTTTTTTTTTTTTTTTTTTTTTTTTTTTCGAACGACGATCCCTGTCCTGATGACACATTGTTGGAGAGAGCTAAAACACCAACATTTATGGCGCCAAGTTGAGGAAACTGTCTCAAACCGTTCCAAAATGGCGGCCAGTTGAAGTTGAAAATTATGAACAATAGGAATCTCGGCAACCTATTGACGGATTTGCTTCATTCTCGGAGTCAGGGGGTTTTTTGGAGCGCTAAACCCGAATTTGATAGGTACTAAATCCTCAAAAATCCCAATTCCTTTTCAAGATGGCGGAAAACTGGTATGGTTCCGCCATCTTAGATGGCCTGTGATGTACAAATATTTTCAATTTATAGGTTAGGATGCTTCTGGTCAGGCAAAAACTGTAAAAAATATGAGACTAGAAGTTCCGGGGGAGTCTCCAAATGAATGACTTGAGTGAGATATGATTTCAGATAGCTTTGAAAGTGTTTCAAAGGGTTTAAATTCATTTTTTCACGGAAAATAGAAATATTTCAATATTGTGAAATTTCTTGGAGAAAGAGCTCCGCACACTCCTTATGGAAATGTGTACCACGGTCTATTGCTCATTTTTTTTATTGCATTCGTGGATGCTGATCAATAGTCATCGTTGTGCTACCTTGCTACGATTCACCGTTTTCGCACAATCCGTGGTGTAAGTTTCGCTGATTCCTTGAACAGAAGGTGGCAGCGGTGCCGAACTTCTGCCGAGGACTGTGCGAAAATACGCGGAAAATTGGTGCAATGGTGACTTAAGATCAGCGTCCTTAGACAAGTTGAATGCAATAAAATAACGGGGAATCGATCGTGGTACACATTCCCATAAGGAGTGTGCGAAGTCTTTTCATTTCGCAACTTTCCTATGAAGTCTATCAAGCACTCTGAAAATACCACAGTAACGCCTGAAAGATATCAGGATGATGTCCGAGAGAAATCACGGTGACATCAGACTGACATCTTAGTGGTTTGTACCATCAACCAGTGGTCAAATCGTACAATGACGTGGTCATTACGGCTCTCTTTAACTAGAGTACCTGTATAGGGAGAGTAGCGACAGATCGGTTCATGGAGGGCTTAGGGCCCAAAAGTGCAGCCACCCTTCTGAGCAACTTCTAACACACAAAATTTCACTGCCAGCCTACAGACTTCAATTCTAACCAAGATGGCTAAGAATGTACATAAATGAGCGTTCTTTCGCAAAAATAAGTAAATTTATGCAAAAAGTAAGCCAAATACATGCTTTCTAAACGACGGTTCGTAACAATTGTATTTGTAAATCGCTCTGGACATTCGAAATTCATAGGTTGGCTGCCCTTTTGGGCCCTAACTTTATTCGCGGAGGCATCGGTGAAGGCCTGATGGACTTTCGGAGTTTCAGATCTGTCGCTACTCTCCCTATACAGGTACTCTATCTTTAACCAAGGTTGAGACAGCATTGAAGCTGTGGAAGTTATTACCACTTCATCAATAATTAAGAGTAGTTACGTTGAGAAGTCTGAATACTTAATATTTAAATTTAACATTCTCAGCTGAAACGCAGATAACGGTCACCAATCTCCAGTTACTTATTTCTTATATTTAATAAGACTAAGCATGATTACAACAGCTGCTTTTTGAAATAGCAGTGTCAGATAGAATGTGCAAAACTGTCTGCGAGGGTCTCGCGATTGGCTGGATGATCACATAAACTTAGATGCAGGTATACATATAAATGACCAATCCCTGCAGAATATCATTGATTGAATGAGAATAGGAACAACGCATACATGGCTTTCGAGCTGTTAAAAAATTGGGTCACCATCAGAGCTAAGTAGCTCAAAAGCAAATTTTGGAAAAAAAGATAATTACCTTTGTTTTTATCTCCACTACTACTGCTTGACGATTCTCCATTATCCATTGTGTTATTGGGATTTAGAATTTTGAAAGAATTTATGCATACTTCAATTCATTATAAAGGCAACATATTTATTGATCTACAACAAAGAGGGATAGAAAAATAATAATTACACCAGTGCTGATGGAATCATAAACAGGTACAAGTTTGACAAAGCGAAACTGAAACCTACACAGATTTCTTTTTTCATTTCATTAGATGGAACAGAATAATAAGCTACTTAAGACTATTCCACACTATTACTATTACTAATAAGTAACATTATGAGGGTACATAAAATCCTTGCAACAAATATTACATTAAGTGCAGTAATTAACTCTTGATCAGGCAGGTAGTGATGACATTGCCCGAAATGCTTCAAGAAAACAGTAGGTAAGTTCACTGTCAGCTATTCTAGAGGTAGAGTAGGAGGTACTAGATATTCAGCTGTATCAAAGACGTGCTCACTTCGAGAGAAAGAGGGGTCAAACTTCTTCATTTCTCCAGTTTCGGTTCAAAAAAGCCTGCGTACAAACGCAATAGTTGCTCATTGATATTGCAGTGGCGAGCAATATGGGCAAACCGCCCAAAAGGGTTCTTGAGACAATTGTTGTTAAGTGCGGTAATTAAATTACTATCAAGCAGGCAATGACAATACCGGAAGGGCTTTAAAAACTATTAAATACACAAGTCAATTACTCAGGAGTTAAATGTTACCAGTTCTGACGACTGATCGAGAAATAAAAATTATTTTTCCTATTTATCTTGGCACCGATGAGATGATTTTTCCAAGACTGAATGTCTAATGTCTATTGCACTATGAAATTGATAACTTCATAATGAACGACTGGATTCGTTTTAGTTAAAGAGGAGAAAGAAAATACACGTAAGTAGCATATAAAGTAGGATGGATAAAAAATCATAGTATGAAGATCAATAGGTAAAAAACATATACATCTATTAATCTTGAATTAAAATTGAAGCCTATCACTGTCATTTAGTAACTCAACAAGAAGACAACGACAACAAGACTCCCAAAGGGCTGAAAATCATCCTGCTTATACAGATCATGACTTCAACAACTAGGTATTAATCTGAATAATTGCAAACCAGAGTCTTTCGGAAGTTGAGAACGATCTAAAATAGAGAGCAATCATTAGCCTTCTCTTGGGCATCTCGACTTCGGTAAATACATACAGGGTGATCCAAAAGTCCCTTCCACCCCCTCTAACTTTTTACCTAATTGAGATAAAAATTTGAAACTTGGAGGATATTTCTAGGTCAAAGGGAGCTACTTTTTGGCACCCCTAAAATTTTCAGGGGGGCCTCCCTTGGGGGGGCAACGGCCCCCAACTTTGAATTTTCAAATGGGAAGACCCCCTTTGTGATAGCTCGTTTGAAAGAGCATAAAAAAAGAAAACTTTTCGCGCAAACCCGAAGTCAATATCTCAAACCGTTTCAAAATGGCGGCCGGTTAAAGTTCAAAATGGCCGAAATTTCATACCGGTTATTTTTCGATGGATTTGCGCGAAAATCGGTATGGAGGGGTATTTTGACACGAGAAAAACGAATTTGACGTTAGATTTTCAAAAAAACCGAAATTTCCAAAATGGCCGCCGGTTAAAGTTTAAAATGGCCGAAAATTGTCACCTTGGGTTTTTCCTGATGGATTTGCCTAAAACTTGGAATTTGAGAGTAATTTGGCATGAGATAAACACATTTGAACTTAGATTTATGAAAAATAAATTTTTGGTCATTTTGAACTTTAACCGGCGGCCATTTTGAAAATTTTGTTTTTTTTTATAATCTAACGTCAAATTCGTTTTTCTCGTGTCAAAATACCCCTACATACCGATTTTCGCGCAAATCCATCGAAAAATAACCGGTGTGAAATTTCGGCCATTTTGAACTTTAACCGGCCGCCATTTTGAAAGGGTTTGAGATATTGACTTCGGGTTTGCGCGAAAAGTTTTCTTTTTTTATGCTCTTTCGAACGAGCTATCACAAAGGGGGTCTTCCCATTTGAAAATTCAAAGTTGGGGGCCGTTGCCCCCCCAAGGGGGGCCCCCCTGAAAATTTTAGGGGGGCCGAAAAGTAGCTCCCTTTGACCTAGGAATATCCCCCAAGTTTCAAATCTTTATCTCAATTAGGTAAAAAGTTAGAGGGGGTGGAAGGGACTTTTGGATCACCCTGTATGTATTTAAAATATGTATATCTTTAGCCGCTGTCCCAGCACACTAGAAGGCACTATATGATTCCCAATTACCATTGAAATTGATTCTCCCACTAATCACCAGGCAAACGACACCTTCTGACCTCTTCCACCACTCCTTGCCACCAACCTTTTACTTGCTGGACGTCTCCGCCGCCTCCTTCCGGAAGGAGCCCAATCAAACATCTGATATTGTAAAACTGAGATGCATAAGAGGTTCCCACCTTTCAAAGCAATAAATCGACAGATGTGTTCGCCGAAAAATCGAAAACTACGATCTTCTCGAAAAGACAGGGATATCGCAGATGGATATTAAACATCAAACTTCAATGGAGGCACTGAGAAGGCTCTTTCTGCTCTCTGGTTCCTCATTCTTTCACCCTCTGTTCGAGCTCAAAAGTTTATCAGAGCTATGAATGGACTTCTCATCTGGCTTCGCAGAGAAATGCTTGCTTTTCATCTCTTAGGAATGGATAGCTCGCCCCGTTATTGTGAGAGTTACATCGACGAAGGGTAAATGGATGATGGAGCAGGTTCCAGAAGGAACCTGAGGAAGGAAAGTCCGGAAGACTTAATCGTAGATCAAGGAACGAGGAATCGTCAAACACAACTTCAGAAATTAGCCATCAGACAATCTAAAGCATTATCTGATGATTACATACTCTTTGCAGTGCGATTAGGAACAATGGCATGCTGCAGGCCGGTAAGCTGCATTGACTCAGAGTTAGGTCAGAAGAGAAAAAGTAGGAATGTCAAAGTAGATTTTTTTTCTTCTTCTTCTTTCGCTACATTTCATTTGTTTGATGGATTTTGCAGTCGTCTTCACTTGCGTAATCGAGATGGGATTGACCATACTGACCGTAGATAGATTGATGAATACCCATAGGGCTCTTGCATTTGATTTCATAAGGGTATGAGAATTGGAAAAAGGTAATACTTGGAAGCATCTGTGATTCAGCGGTTTAAATTTGCACGGATACGTTCTGCGTGTAATATATTGCAATGATTAATTTCCTTTGTTGCCAAATAAAGTGCTCTTTTAAATACAATTAGTCGTGGCACGTAGCTTCAATTGAATTGTTGCCTTCTTTTCGGAAAGGGTTTGGAGTGCTTCCCCTGCTGCCATTTGCTGCTAATGTAATTCTGAGAAAATCTTCTAGGCAAATCTAAGAGTGATCTCAATTGTTATTCATTAGGATAACTCAAGTCGCCACCAATTTCTCCAACTAAGGTACAATTTTGCAACAATACGCTAATCCCTTCGATGCTTCTCTCAGACGAGAACGACGAGGAAAAAGGTTGCCAATCTTTGTGAGTTACGATTTGTAACGTGCCCAAGACGAGGTTGTGCAGGGAATGCAGACTTCCTGGTGATAACATTAAAAACTATTTTCTTACGTGATAGGTGCCTTCACAGAAATTACAACTCAGGACATATGTTTCGAACACATTCACACTTTTTGCCAGTCGAAAGCTGTCTTTGGTGTTCCCTGAACGGTCTAACATCACTTACAACACGTCCATTCTGTTGGGTGATCTAATTTTTAACATCCAACATTGAAGTATCTTCAAGACATCAATCGATCAGTGATGGGCTGATGGGTTAGGAATTAAGTCGCATCATTTCACGAGCCAAACTCTGAAATAATGTCAGAGAAGTCTTGCGTCTGGAATCATCTGCATCCTTTTTGAAGTTTATCGAGCAACTGTCTACCCACTTTTCCGGCAAGCAGGCCTTTGTCTGATAGGGTTGCTGTGCGTGGTGTATATAGTTCTACGTTAAAGGTATCGGCCGACAACTAGATGTTGTGAAGAAATAGTTCGCACAAATATGAAAATTTGCATTATTAGACGGATGGTGTACCGAAGTTTTCGCCGGCCTTCTTGCAGAGTCATGCTATAAAACTCTCCTGGTCTTTGACAAAGGGATCAGAAAGGTCTCCTTCTCAGTCTATACTACGGTGTTCAAAGATGTTTGCGCAGCCTGCCACTAGGGTCAAGGGTTCAATGTGTTAATACTTCAGCCTTCTAAAATAGGCTGAGTTACATTTCATATAAGCTAGACGACAATGAAATTGAGTCGATTTAACATCGAATGGAGTGTTTCTTCGACAGCAAATATTAAGCGTAAGGACGATTTTAAAATGTAATCACAAAATGGCATTTACCATTCTTGATTTGTGGCTACTTTCTTGGTGCTCCCAACATTTCGGAACACGCTGCCATACTAACTTAATGGTACAACCAATTAAACCTGACGGAACTGGTAACAGCAAATTCAGTGAAATCCGTAGAAAGCCTTATAGGAAAGCTGGCATTGATTTTTTGTCAAAATGTGAAATTCAACAAATCGTGAAGCAAAGAACTCGACGAATGGGAGCAGAGAGGAGATAAACAGGCGTTCTGAAGCGTCAAAGAGATCCAGTAAAATGTTGAAATGTGGTGCAACGGCTTTGTGTTGTTTTTTCATGGGATGGTTCGATGGAAAAGTTAGTAAGAACAGGCAATGAGAAAAATCCCTCCCAATATGTAATCTAATGATGCGATGAACCAGCAGCAAAATAAGGCCAATGACTATAACCTGCACGAATGTGTGCGTGTAAGTCGCTGCTTCTCAATGACCTCCAACACACAGGGTGCGATCCCAAGTCCCTTCCACCCCCCTGACTTTTCACCGAATTCATAGCAACGAAACTTCGGGGGTGTTCCGAGGGCAAAGAAAGCTATTTTTCGGCCTCCCCTAAAATTTTCAAGGAGGCTCCCGAGGGGGAGGGGGGGGGTCAACAGATCCCAACTTACTTTTCAAATGGGAAGACACCCCCCCCCCTCATTGTGAGACCTCGTCCGAGAGAGCATACAACATGAAAACCTTTCGCGCAAACTCGAAG